AAGTCTTTCCGGGAACACATCAAAAGTCGACTAAATGCCCTACAATACTGTCGGTAACACAAATATTCCTCGACATACAACAGTTCATTTAGCAACCATTCAAAGTCGTAACCGCACTGAGAAAAGCGACTTACGACCATTTTTCGCACTTATGACCTTTGCAGCATCTCCACAGTCACGGGATCCAAATTCAGACGCTCGGCACAACCAGTTCGTACTTACGACTGTTGCGTTTTAGAAAGAAATTCCCCAATGCCTGTGAAACAGGACCCAAAAAAAAATCTCTTGTCAACTTTAGAAACTCCTAGCTTGTTTTTTGAGCTGTTTGGGAGACCCAAGCATGTTGAAATTTTGGGCTCCATTCAGTGGTGGGATTCAAATAATTTTAACAACCAGTTCTCTGCCCTAATGACTGAGTGGGTGGGCGTGGCCATGGTGGGCGTGGCCATAGTGTGTGACAGGCAGCTCCTGCACCCCCCTGGGAGCAAAAACAGGCCGCGGGGGGGAATGCGCCGCCCCGTGCCCCATTTTGGGCCTAGTAGGCCTCCTTGCAGCCTCCTAAAGTGAAAACGGGCCACGGGGGATGCACCCCCACCCCACACCCCGTTTTGGGCCTAGTAGGCATCGCTGCACTTATCTGGGAACCAAAATGGGACACATGGGGACTTCTGGAAAGGGAGGGGAAGGGCCAACCAGATAATTTAACTATCAGTTTACCCGAACCGGCTGAATCTCACCATTGGGATTCCTTGTTGTTGAACGCTGCCCGTGTTAAAAATTCACCCTTTTCCAGCTTACTTTAATGAAGCATCCCTAGCTGGATTTTAATTTTTTTTCTTTCTTTTTTTTAAAAAAAGACGTTTCTTCTCTGCTTCGCTTGACGTTTTAGCCAGTGATTGCATGTCCCTATATAGTTTGTGGTGGGTTTCGAACCTCCGTTAGACTTTTGGCTTTAGGGTGTTAAAAACGTCTTTGGGGGAAGGTGACTGATGGTTGTGCATTTAGGTTAGGTGTTGCTGACGGTTCTAGTTTTGCACTAGAACAAATACTGGGTGAAGAATTTGACATACCCTTGCACGTCTGAGGAAGAAAAAAATATGTGCGGTTTGCTTGTCAGCTTGAAAGACAGGTGCACCGTACCTTCCTTGAGGATGGAGATTTTCGCTCTCTTCGCTAACAAGGTTACTAGTTCACATTCTAGCCAGCATCCTCTCGCTAATGATATGGTACGCATGATGGTTTTTCAGTTGCATGACGAATAAGCCACAGTTCATGAAGCTTACCTTGTATAACATTCATATTTGCAAACTCCCGGAGTACTGCATCCAGTTTTGGTCACCACAATATAAAAAAAGATGTTGAGTCAGTGGTGAATACTACCAGTTCGCTGACTGCACATGTACTTTTTTAAAAGCATTGTACTTTTTTATTTATTTGTTTTTTTAATTTATTTGTTTCAATTTGTATACCGCCCTTCTCCAGCAGGACTCAGGGCGGTGAACAGCCAGAATAAAACAGAACAAACAAAATTTAAAAATAGTATAAAGATAATTAAATATTTTGGCCGCAATTAAAACAACCCAATTAAAATCAATTAAATTTAACCCAAAACAGTGGGATCAAGCCAGCCCGGCTAGGTGCATTGCTTTTAAAAGTTAAAAAAAAAAAAAAAAAAGCATCTGACGATCGCACTGCTCAGCTGTAATCGTCAGAGGCTTTTAAAAAACTTTTAAAAGCATATTTTCTACAACGGCCGAAGAGGTTGTAAAAAAAATGCTTTTAAAAGGCTCTGATGATCCCAACAGAGCTGCGCGATCATCAGAGGCTTTTTTTTTTACTTTTAAAAGCATTATTTCTTGGGCCGAAAAAATGCTTTTAAAAGTTAAAAAAAAAAAACCTCTGATGTTCGCGCAGTTCAGTTGGGGCAGGGATTTTTGCTACCAGTTCTCCGAACCACTCGCCACCATCGCTACCGGATTGGGCGATCCGGTCTGAACCGGGAGCATTTCACCCCTGTGTTGAGTGCAGAGAAGAGCAACAAAGATGATTAAGGGACTGGAGGCTAAAACATATGAAGAACCGTTGCAGGAACTGGGTATGTCGAGTCTGATGAAAAGAAGGACTACGGGGGATATGATAGCAGTCTTCCGATATCTCAGGGGCTGCCCCAAAGAAGAGGGAGTCGAGCTATTCTCCAAAGCATCTGAAGGCAGGACAAGAAACTATGGATGGAAACTAAACTAAGGAGAGAAGCAACCTAGAACCTAAGGAGAAATTTCCTGACAGTGGGGACAATTAACCAGTGGAACAACTTGCCACCAGAAGTTGTAGATGCTCCATCACTGGAGGCTTTCAAGAAGAGACTGAAATGGTATAGGATCTCCTTCTTGAGGAGGGGGCTGGACTAGAAGACCTCCAAGGTCCCTTCCAACTCTGTTATTCTGTAATACCTCCAAAGTGAGACTCATAGAACCATGGGGCTGGAAAGGACCTCAAGAGGTCATCTAGTCAACCCCCTGCCCAAGACAGAAAGCCTCATACTATCCCAGCTGGTCTGGAACGGACAGCCAGTTATCTGAAATGGTATAAGGCAGGAGTCAGCAACCTGTGGCCCTGGAGCCGTATGTGGCTCTTTCACCCCTCTGCTGCAGCTCCCTGTCACTCAAAGTTATTCGTCACAAGCGCCAATGTGCGACACCCGCCGGTACGTGATTTACTGAGCTTTTCAACCCCCAGTAGGCCAACGATGGATAAATCCAAGAAAAGAAAAAGTTTCAGAAGAAAACAAAACGTTTAATTCAACTACGTATTGAATTAAATATTCAACCTTGGTAGAAGGTATACTTTGAAAACACAAAATGGACCTCTTTTACAAATCAGAAAACACCCCACTAGAGGAAGATTTTTGCTGTTGCAGTTGGGGAAAAAAAAAAAGGTCAGAGAAGGAAAGGAAGCCACATAATTAATCACTCATTTCTTCCGTTCCCCTACCAAAACCTGTATATATTTATTGCGCGCTCTTGTTAAAAGTGCCCCTATTTGTATTAAACCTAAATTTAAACAGTAATTACCCAGCTGTTTTCATACAAAGAAGGACAATGTGTTGAAACCTGCCCTCGCTTTTTCAGGCTAACCTTTTTTCCTTTCAGCATTTGCATTTTGGATCGACTTTGGACAAAAATGCAAAAATTTAAAAAAAAAAAATGCAGAGAAACGTTTGGCTTCAGCGAAACGAAGAGTTAAATTACTTTTTTTTTTTTTTGGAAGGAAAACAGATGTTTTCATTAGCGTTTTTTTTTGGAAGAGAAACATCCCAAATGCAGAACAAATGTTTTCCATCCAGTTCCTGCTTCTAAAATCTTAAAAACTTTTTTTTGGGGGGGGGCATTTTGTATGTATATACATAAGAGTTATGACACACTGCGGATAAATAATCTTGTTTAACAATCCGCCCTCATTTGTAAACCTGGCTTGCAAAATATAACTTTGCGTTGTTGTTTTTTTTCCCCCTCTAATGCAGATGGAGTGTTTGTATTTCAGTGTTTTTCTTTGGTTTCGAAACTTCCATCCTTCCACAAAACGTTTTACGTATTTTGGGATGTCTACAAAGCTTCGTGCGCCGTTGGTAATTTCCCATTTCCGTGGCCGGTTTACATTTCTGAAGATGCTAACAATGGCGAAAGATGTTTAGTAAGGAAAAAGACCAGCTGGGAAGGTATAAGGATTCCTGCCTTGGATCTCTGAGCTCCTTTTCAGCCATGTGGTTGTATGATTCTCACTTTGGAGGTGAATATTACAGAACAACAGAGTTGGAAGGGACCTTGGAGGTCTTCTAGTCCAGCCCCCTGCTCAGGAAGGAGACCCTATACCATTTCAGATAAATGATTGTCCAGTCTCTTCTTGAAAGCCTCCAGTGATGGAGCATCTACAACTTCTGGTGGCAAGTTGTTCCACTGGTTAATTGTCCCCACTGTCAGGAAATTTCTCCTTAGGTTCTAGGTTGCTTCTCTCCTTGATTAGTTTCCATCCGTTGCTTCTTCAGAGAATAGGTTGATCCTCTCTTCTTTGTGGTAGCCCCTCAAATATTGGAAGACTGCTATCATGTCAACCCTAGTCCTTCTTTTCACTAGACAGACATACCCAATTCCTGCAACCGTTCTTCATATGTTTTGGCCTCCAGTCCAGGGGTGAAATCCAGCAGGTTCTAACAGGTTCTGGAGAACCGGTAGCGGAAATTTTGAGTAGTTTGGAGAACCGGCAAATACCACCTCTAGGCTGGCTCCAGAGTGGGGTGGGAATGGGGATTTTGCAATTTCCTTCCCCCAGGAGTGGGGTGGGAATGTAGATTTTGCAGTATCCTTCCCCTGCCACGCCTACCAAGCCACGCCCACAGAACCGGTAATTAAAAAATTTGAATTTCACCACTGCTCCAGCCCCCTAATCATCTTCGTTGCTCTTCTCTGCACTCTTTCCAGAGTCTCAACATCTTTTTTTAATATTGTGGTTACCAAAACTGGATGCAGGATTCCAAGTGTGGTCTTACTAAGGCTTTACAAAATTGTAGTAGAACTTCCCTTGGTCTTGAGTCTTATCCCTCTTAAAGCAACTGTTGCGTTGACTTTTTTGACTGCTGGGTGTCAAACTCCAAATGTGATATGGTGGACATCAGACTCCAAATGTGATTTGTTGGACGCTTCACAGTGGCTTCTTTTAATGCCCAAATCTTTTTTTGCACCTCTGCTGGTGTTGACGATCGCGACATCTCCAAAAACCAGAAATTGTTGGAGAGGCAAAGAGGGAGGGAGATTTCAACTCCAATCTCATCAAGCCAGGATCTCTCTCTCTCTCTAACTTCAGCCTGGGTAACAATGCCCTGGGCATCCTATTTGCTGCGCTCCGGCCTATCAGCATCCTTGTTGCTGGTCCTTAATGATGTCATAAAAAGGGATCTTGAGAAATTATGCATGGATTTTTTTTTTCTCCTGCTAGCCCTCCAAATGATAGCTTAACCTGGAAGGCCAGGAAAATCCAAAGGCTGGAAGATCAAAAGGAGACAAGAGGGCAGAAGGGTAAAATCAAGACTCAAAAGAAAAAGAGACCACCTGGAGAAGGGCCACAGGGCAGCAAAACAACCCGAAACAGTCGCAAACCAGGCAGTGGGGGGGAAGACCTCAAGGTGGGGTACCAAGCAGGAGTAGACTATGTCTGACGATCAATGTGATACGGATAGCTTTGAAGATCTAGAACCTGAACCATCCTATAGAAGAGGACGGAGGAAGCCGAAAACTTCCCGTTCTTGTCGGGCAGGGTTGATATTCCCAGTCAGCCGGATCGACCGATTCCTTCGGAAAGGAGATTACGCCGAACGCATCGGCTCGGGAGCCTCCGTCTACATGGCTGCCGTGCTTCAGTACCTGACGTACGACCTGGTGGACATTGCCGGAAACATCGCGATGGGGGCCTGCCGACGTCGAATCGCTCCCAGCCATTTGAATCAAGCGGTCAGCGGTGATTCTGAACTCCAGTCTCTGTTTGGAGGGGTTCTGACTCAGGAGAAGAACTGTCCGAAGAAATCATCTGCTACCTCTTCCAGAAAGGGGAAGAAGTCCAGCAAGGGTCTACGAGCTCCGAACGTCATTGTTGCGTAAACAAAAGTGGTGCCATTTATCCAGACATGGGGTGAAATCTTTTTAATATCCAACAGAGTGCAGAAATAAACGCGGCTCTGAAGATGGGCTTGTGGTGGTGTGAAGGTCTTTTTATTTCCTCACGGGTGAATTGGGATGGAGCGGATTGAGAAAATGGCTTTGATGGGTGTTTTACTTCGGGGTGGAGACCTTGGTGCTCTCTTGAGCTTGGTGGGTTTCTTGCAGATGTTTCATGACCCAACTAGGTAATATCACCAGTGTGAGAAGGCATTAGGATTATATAAACAGAGAGCAATTCCCCTCCCTCCTAGCACTGATGATGTGACTCAGTTGGGTCATGAAAGGTTTGCAAGAAAAGCACTAAGGTCAGAGAGTACCAAGGACTCCATGCTGCTTCTTCTTCTTCTTCTTCTTCTTCTTCTTCTTCTTCTTCTTCTTCTTCTTCTTCTTCTTCTTCTTCTTCTTCTTCTTCTCCTTCTCCTTCTCCTTCTCCTTCTCCTCCTCCTTCTCCTCCTCCTCCTCCTCCTCCTCCTCCTCAAACCCCACTTTCTTGTAGCACTGATGACGTTCCCTAGTCGGGGAATGAAATGTCTGCAAGAAAACCCCACAGTACAACTCTGAGCTGCAACTAATGGCAGTGCTTAAAGGAGACCAACTGCTGGTTGATTTCTCCAGTCCTTACACACACCATAAGTTCCAGCAGTGGGAGAAATCCTTTTGTCATGTGTTGTTCTCTCCCACTTCCATGGTGAATTGCGCCTAGTAGTAGTAAGCACCAAGAAGATTTAAGACAAAGTTGCTTCTTAGCAATGAGTTTTGAGTTGGAAGTTAGAACTGAAGAAGCTTCTTCGACGAGAAGCGAAACGTCTTCAAGGAAACAACAAAGTCCAGTTGCCTTTTGGAAAAGCACCTTTGGGACAACCATGACCTGGATGACTGAGAATCTCCACAGACATTTAGAAACTCAAAACTTTCTCTTAGTAGTCCAACCTGCATCTGTGTTGTGGTCTGCCACCAGCCTGCAGACCTGGCAGCAGAGTCGGACAGTGAGGAGGCTGGGGAGGAACATGGGTCAGTCCTGGAGGCTGGGGAAGGCTCGACAAGGTCTCTGCCGAGGCAGAGATGGGGCCAGGGCCATCTGGGAGTTATGCATGGACTCCAGAGCCTCCAGAGAGAGTCGGACAGCAGAGAGCAGAGGAACAGGAGGAGCCTGTTCTTAGTGCGCGCATGGGCAGAGCTGCCAGAAGGCAAGAACAGGTAAAACAAAAGGGACGACTAGGGAGTAAGGCCTGGAGATGATTGGCCCCTCCCTTAAGGCTTAAAAGAGGAGCAAAGGCACGTGGGCCCTTTACAGGAAAGCAGCATTGTTAATTCTGTTCCCAGTCGGCATCTCTGTTTGATTCTGGACTCCGTGGGGCTTTGCCAAGTAGGTCTTTGGCAGAGTGTCAAAGGAGATAAAGGATGGTGATCATCCCGAAGGACTTCTCCCAAAGGACATTTTGCAACTAACTGGGACTCAGCTTTGAATGAACGTAATTCACAGATGTTGCAATAAAAGAGGTTTTGGGACTACTCCTGTGTTTTAATGACTTAGGAAGCCTAGGTCACAACAATCTGCTTCATTCTTGATTCACTTACGCTCAGAATATTCTTTTGCTCTGAAGAATTTCTGAGTTCTTCAGAATTCAGCAGATCCCTTAATACTTCTTCAGTCGTCCTGGAAAGGTGCAATCTTATTTTAACCATCCATGGCTTGTTCATCCTGGATTAAGCTGGTAGGCTTCGAACCCTTGGTGCTGCTAAGACTTTAAGCCGAAGAGTGGCATGTGAAGGAATAGAATTAAATGGGCCACCTGTCCCGTTAATTTTTCCTTTTCCCCTTGAAATAATTTAATTGTAAAAGCCATGGTTATTATCAGGGTGATGAGCCTCTGTGCAATTTTTGAATCCATCGAAAAATAAACGACGTGGAACAGCTGATAATAGTATAGGTAGCCCTCAATTTACAACCACAAGTGAATCCAAAATCTCTGTTGCTAAGTGAGAGATTTGTTAAGTGAGAGTTTCCCCCCATTTTACGATCTTCCTTGCCACCACAGTGGTGAAGTTAGTAATATGGTTGTTAAGTGAATCTGGCTTTTCCCATCAGCTTTGCTCGTCAGAAGGTTGCCAAAGGGCATCACGTGACCTCCGGGACACAAACAACAACCGTCATAAATATGAACCAGTTGCCAAGTATCTGAATTTTGATCACATGACCATGGGGATGCTGCAACGCTCACAAGTGTGATGAAACCGTCATGTCACTTTCTTCAGTGCTGTTGTAACTTGGTCATTAAATGAACTGTTGTAACTTGAAGACTACCTATATCCGTGATGGCGAACCTGTGGCATGGGTGCCATAGGTGGCACACGGAGCCATATCAGTGGGCACATGAGCATTGCCGTAGCTCAGCTCCAGTGCGCATGTGTGTGCCTGCCAGCTGATTTTTGGGCCTTTTGGTCCCACCGGATGTTGGGAAATGGGGTGTTTCCAGCTTCCAGGGGGGGAGGCTGTTTTCGCCCTCCCCACGCTCCTAGAAAGCCTCTGGAGCCTGGGGAGGGTGAAAAACAGGCCCACCGTGCTATCATGTGCTAAAACCAGGGGGCATGCATGCACAGGGCCGGGGCGCATTGGATTATGGGTGTGGGCCCACACGTGGGCGACCTCCCTGTGCTCCCCCCGCTTTTGGCACGTGACGGCAAAAAGGTTAGCCATCATTCACCTATATAAATAAAAATGGGGGAAAAGCTAAGTTTTTGTACACATTGGTGGGGAGGAAAAGAGAGAGAGAGAGAGAGACGGAGAGAGAGAAACAGAATGAGAGAATGAGAAAGAGAGAGAGAAAGAGAAAGAACAAGAAAGGATGAGAATGAAAGGCGGACAGAGACAGACAGAATGAGAGAATGAGAAAGACAGGATGTGAGAATGAGAAAAAGAAAGACAGAAGGAGAAAGACAAAAAGAGAAGGAGAAAGAGACAGTGAGAGAATGAGAACGAGAAAGACAGGCAGAAAAAGAGAGAAGGAGAGAAAGAATGAGAACGAGAAAGAGAGAGACAAAAAAGAGAGAATGAGAAAGAAACAGAATGAGAGAATGAGAAAGACAGGCAGAAAAAAATGAGAGAAAGAATGAGAACAAGAAAGAGAGAGACAGAGAGAGAATGAGAGAATGAGAAAGAGACAGAAAAAGAGAATGAGAGAATGAGAAAGAAAGACAGAATGAGAGAAAGAGACAGAGAAACAGCGTAGATCAAACAGTGCAAGAAAAAAAAACTGAGATTCAAGGAAAGGACAGTGTTCTTTTGGTTAGAACATCTGTTTCCTTCCAGTGAGGATATTCTTTTATTTTAACAACTTTAACGTGTATGGTTTGTTCCTTGATACCCTCGAGATTTAGCCGCCATTTCGCTGGTACAATTCAGAATAAAAGAAATAAAAACTATTTCTGGGGATTGAAGCGGGGCAGGAGCTGCCTATAACGTGACACTGGTATATGTTCCTGAATATAAAATACAATTTCGACACTGTAACTTCCACAGAAAAATTGAAGGACCCGTGAACGAGGTCTATGGATAACGGTTTCCAATCATCTGGCAACGGTCATAGGTGCTGAACCTGCTTTATGTCACCAACATTATTGTTTTCCTACAGTTTAAAATGATACTTATTTAATACAGGTAGTCCTCGACTTACAAAACTTTGTTTAGTGACCGTTCAAAGTTACAACAGCACTGAAAAAAAGTGACGGGAAGTTTTTCAAACTTACAACCGTTGTGGCATCCTTGTGGTCACGTGATCAAAATTCAGACGTTCGGCAACTGACTCATATTTATGACGATTACACTGTCCTCGGGGTCACGTGACCCCCTTTTGCGACCGTCTGACGAGCAAAGTCAAGGGGGGAAGCCAGATTCGCTTAGCAACCATGTCGCTAACTTGACAACTGCAGGGATTCACTTAACAATCATGGCAAGAAAGGTCGTAAAATGGGGGGGACGGGACTCCCTAAAGAACTGTCTCGCTTAGCAACGGACATTTGGAGTTCAGTTCTGGTTGTAAGTCGAGAACTACCTGTATGTGAACTGAGTATTAGAAATGTGCATGTTTACCTACTCACTTGGATGCAAACTCGGCCCCTAAAGCAGGAACACGTACATAAAGAATGTTTTTCGTACAAAGGTAGTTGTAGGAGACAAAATTGTAAAGCAAGAGTAAATCCGTGGTGAAATTTCGGTGCGATTCGAGTTTTTCAAATTTCAACTTCGCCGTTGTAGTTTTGTGAGTGTATCCATGCAGCAAGGATTAGCGATGATAGTAGATGTTTTTTGATGCGTTCTTACAATTTTATTGTCGGGGAAACTCAGTTTTGTAAAATTTAGGGAGTAGGTGGCATACTCCTAATGGGTTAATACATGAATTACATAATAGATTGTGATTTTTTTCTCCCCCTTTTGGTTAAGAAATGTGTTCCCACAATCGTTTAAAAACTAAAACTAAAATAAAATAAAATAAGATTTGCTTGTCCTCTTGTCAAGAGCCCTTTGCGAAAGGAATTAGTAGAGAGTACTCAAACTGGGGGAAAGAATGCAACCTGCCATTTTCATCAGCAGCAAAAACATCTGACAGAGTCACTCCATTGTCAGACCTTATTATCTTTTAAATCGAGCACCTCTTACGACATGCGCAGACAAGACACTGATTAGGGAATGAGTCATCGCCATCCAGAAATTGAATTCCTGTCGCTAAAATGTATTTCTAAAAAAAGTATCCCAAATTGGGTGCTTTTTCTGGAGGCAACTGGACTTTCTGGGTTTTTTTTTCTTTGAAGACGTTTTGCTTCTCATTCAAGCAGCTTCTTCAGCTCTGACTGATGGTGGGGAATGGAAGGATTGATACTCCTTGCAGACAGCTGGTCGCTGCATCCTTTTAGAAGGTTATTGAGGCCGCCTGGAGGTTTATCTCGGTTTGCAGTTTTAAAAGCACAAATTGTACGCGGGGAGAAAACTCTTGATAGACCTTAAACCCCTGAAATACTATTGTGAACATAATTTAAATCATTGCCTTTTTTCCTCCTTCATCTTTTTCAGATAATAATGGCTGCAACTTATTGGCACTACCACACATGTAGCTGTAAACATGACCTGACATCCTGAAGATTGTATGCATGGCCATCAGCTGATCTGGAGACCATGGAGCTGAAAGTTTGGGTCGATGGAGTCCAAAGGATTGTTTGCGGAGTCACGGAAGTTACAACATGCCAGGAAGTGGTTATAGCGCTTGCCCAAGCTATAGGTGAGTTTACGCGCCCGATGTTTGTAGTTGGAGGTGAGTGGGAAGGGGTTATCATTCATTCTGTTGGACCAGGGGTGTCAGACTCAAGGCTCAGGGGCCAGATCCGGCCTGTGGGGTGCTTAGATCTGGCCCATGGGGCCACCCTGGAAATGGCGAAGGACCGGCCCATCCTCCTGAGCTCCGTTTTCATTGGCAGAGGGTGCTGTGACCTACGCTTACTGAGTCATTACAGTACACGATTAGTCCCAAAAAACCCCTATTTTATTGTAACAGCCCAGAATTACGTTCATTCCCAGCTGAGTCCCAATTAGTTGCAAAACAAGTCCTTCGGAAGAAGTCCTTCGGGACAATCACCAACCTTTATCTTCTTTGACACCCTACCAAAGGCCTTACTTGACAAAGCCCCACAAAGTTCAGAAACAAACAAGAGATGCCGACTGGAAACAGAGTTAGCAACGTTGCTTTCCTGCAAAAAGGCCCAAGTGCCTTTGTTTCTCTTTTAAGCCTTATGGGAGGGGCCAATCATCTCCTGGCCTTACTCCCCAGTCGTCCCTTTTGCTTTAGCTGTTCTTGCCTTCTGGCAGCTCTGCGCATGCATGCACTAGGAACAGGCTCCTCCTGTTCCTCTGTCTCTCTGCTGTCCGATTCTGGAGGCTCCGGAGTCCGCACATCACTCCCCAATGGCCCCGGCCCCATCTCTGCCTCTGACACAGAGCCCTCATTCGGGCCTTCCCCAGACTCCAGGACTGGCCCATGTTCCTCCCCAGTCTCCTCACTGTCTGACTCTGCTGCCAGCTTCGCAGGCTGCTGGCGGACAACAACAGAGGGTTGCAGGAGGCTGTTGCAGCCAAAAACAGAGCTCGGGAGCTTGTTTTCACTGGCAGAGTGCTTGGGCCGCCATAGGCGCCCCCAACACGAATGACGTTGAGCTGGCCACGCCCACCCTGGGTGCAGATTTCCCCTCTGTACTAGAGGGAGCCTTGAGGTTGTGTCATCTTGGCTGTTTCAGAACACAGCTGCATTCTGGAATTTCCAGAGCAGGTAGTCCTCGATTTATGATGACAACGGAGCCCAACATTTATGTTGCTAAGCGAGAAATTGGCTCAGTGAATCTTGCCCCATTTGTTACGACTTCTCTGGCTGCCTTTGTTAAGTGAATCACCGCAGTCGTTAATTGAGTAATGTGGTTGTTAAGTGGATCTGGCTTTGCTCATCCAAAGGCTGCAAAAGGGAATCACGTGACCCTGGGACACGGTGACCGTCATAAATATGAGTCAGTCATCAAGCCTCCAAATGTAAATCAAGTGATGCTAAAACGGTGTGAAAAAAAGTGCTAAATCACTTGTTTCAGCGCTGTTGCAACTTCAGGCGGTCACTAAGCGAACCGTTGTAAGACGGGGACTATCTGTAGCGATAGCTGCCTTACCCTCAACGAGCTTGTGTTGAGTTCCCAGTCCCTGCACCCCTAAAAATGCCACCTAGGAGTATCCGGATTGTTTTAATGCTGCTGCCATCATTGTAGGCAGCTCATAATTACTAACCAGGGGTGAAATGCTCCCGGTTCGGACCGGATCACCCGATCCGGTAGCAATGGAGGCGGGTAGTTCGGAGAACCGGTAGCAAAAATCCCTGCCCTCCCTCCCATGTCCAGCTGAGCCGTGCAATCATCAGAGGCTTTTTTAAAAAAAAAAATTAAAAGCATTTTTTCAACAACCTCTTTGGCCGAAAAAATGCTTTTAAAAGTTTTTAAAAAAGCCTCTGATGTTCGTGCGGCTCAGCTGGGATCGTCGGAGGCTTTTAAAAGCATTTTTTTCTACAACCTCTGAAGAAATTTTTTTCTACAACCTCTGAAGAGGTTGTAGAAAAAAATGCTTTTAAAAGCCTCTGACGATCCCAGTTGAGTTGCCTGATCGTCAGAGGTTTTTAAAAGAAAAAAAACGCCTCTGCCGATCAGGCAACTCAGCTGGGATCGTCAGAGCCTTTTGAAAGCATTTTTTTACAACCTCTCCGCCGAAGAGGTTGTAGAAAAAATGGTTTTAAAAGTAAAAAAATAAAAATAAAAATTGGCCACACCCACCCAGTCACATTACCCTCCCCCCACCAAGCCACGCCCACAGAACTGGAAGTAACAAATTTTAGATTTCACCACTGTTACTAACCCTTTGTCCTCCGCTCTGTGTAGACCAGATCAAGAAATAAACTCCAACAAAGATTAAAAAATGCCTTTATTAATACAGACTATTAAAAGAATCTTGCAAGGCGGATTCTGCTTTGCTTCCTAACCCCCTTCCTAGGTGTTGTTTTTTTAAAAAATTTAAACATTTCATTCAATTGAAACTAATTTTTTTAAAAAAATCTAGTTGAATTATCAAAAGCTGCTTTACCGGTGCAGTAATTTTAACGTTACGGAGTGAATTTTATACATTATTTTTGTAAAGACGGCTTGTTCATTTGCAGAGCAGTCGGCGCTGAATGTAGAATCGGGTTATAAATTACCACGAACTGCTTTTCCCAGTGCATTAAATAATTTGTTGATGTTAAGAAAGTGATTATTTTTATATATATTCGTGCCTCGTCCGTACGCTGGTCGACGTGGCTTGTTAGTTTGCAAAGTGGTGGTGCTAATGTGGTTTCCATTAAGTTATCATACACTAATTTTCCAGCGTAAAATGGTTAGATTATCTAGCAACTTTTAAAATTTGGGTCTGGCGCTCTTGTGGTGCGATTCTGCCCTCTGCTGGTTCTCTCCTGTCATTACAGTGACACTTACTCCTCGACTTACAACCGCAACTGAGCCCAAAATTTCTGTCGCTGTGCAAGACACTTCTTAAGTGAAGTTTGCTCCGTTTTACAACCTTTCATGCCACAGTTGTTAAGTGAATCACTGTAGTTGTTAAGTTAGGCATATAAGTCCAATAAAATAAAATAAATAAAATAAATAAATAAATAGTAACCGTTGTTAAGTGAATCTGGCTTCCCTAGTGACTTTGTTCGTCAGAAAGTTGCAAGAGGGGATCTCATGACCCCGGGACACTGCAACGGTCATAAGTGAGTCAGTTGCCAAGCATCTGAATTTTTACAGGGTGCTGCAATGGTCATAAGTATGAGTCAGTTGCCAAGCATCTGAATTTTGATCACATGACTGTGGGATGCTGCAACGGTCACTAAGTGTGAAAAACAGTCATAAGTCACTTTTTTTCACTGCTGTTGTAACTTCAAATGGTCACTAAATGAGCTGTCATAAGTCGAGAACTACCTGTATGTCCATGCTCTTACAGGAAGTCCTCAACTTACGACCATAATTGAGCCCAAAATTTCCATTGCTCAGTGAGACATTTGTTAAGTGAGCTTTTCCTCATTTTATGACTTTTCTTGCCATATTTGTGAAGTGAATCACTGCAGTTTTTCAATTAGTGACACGGTTGTTAAATGAATCCAGCTTCCCCATCGACGTTGCTTCTCAAAAGGTCACAAGAGGGGGTATCACGTGACCCCAGCACATTGCGACTGTCATAAATATGAATCAGATGTCAGGCGAATCTAAATCACGTGAGCATGGGGGATGCTGCAACAGTCATAAGTTTGAAAAACTGTCCTAAATTTTTTCAGATTTAACTTCAAACTGTCACTAAATGAACTGTTGTAAGTCGAGAACTTCATGTCCTTATTTCTTATTTCTTTTTTATAGGTCGTACGGGGAGGTACACCCTGATAGAAAAATGGCGGGATACGGAGAGACATTTAGCACCTCACGAAAATCCGATCATTTCTTTGAACAAATGGGGGCAACACGCCAGCGACGTGCAGCTCGTCTTACGACGTACCGGGCCATCGCTTAGCGAGCGGCCAACCTCGGACAGCGTAGCTCGGATCCCAGAAAGGACTTTGTACCGGCAAAGCCTGCCTCCCTTGGCTAAACTCAGGCCTCAGAACGACAAGTCGATCAAAAGGAGGGAGCCGAAACGCAAATCGTTGACGTTCACCGGCGGGGCCAAAGGATTGATGGACATTTTCGGGAAGAGCAAAGAGTCCGAGTTCAAACAGAAAGTCCTCCATTGCAAGACCACGACAGATGAGTTGAAAAAGCTCATCCGTCTCCAGACGGAGAAGCTGCAGTCGGTGGAGAAACAGCTGGACTCGAACGAGGCCGAGATCCGATACTGGGAGCAGAAGTTCAGCTTCAGCCTGGAGGACGAAATCCTCAAGCTGGAGCAGAAGCTCAAGAGGAACGAGGTGGAGATCGAGGAAGAGGAGTTCTGGGAGAACGAGCTCCAGATCGAGCAGGAGAACGAGAAGCAGCTGAAGGAGCAGCTCCAGGAAACCCGGCAGAGGATCGCGGACTGCGAAAGCCGGCTGAGGGACTACGTGGCCCAGATCCGCCACATGGAAAGCGGCCTGGAGGCGGAAAAGTTGCAGCGGGAAGTCCAGGAGGCTCAAGTCAACGAAGAAGAAGTCCGAGAGAAGATCGACAAAGTCAGAGGAGAACTCGATCTCCACGGCCAGCAAAGCCTCCGGCTGGAAAACGGACTCAAAGCCGTGGAGAGATCTCTCGGACAGGCGACCAAGCGGTTACAGGTGGGGTCTGGTTTTTTGTGTCTTTGAATATTTTATTAGTTTATTGTCAAGGTTCCAAGTAATACATCCCCAACAATGAGAGAAATACAAAGAGAAATGAAGATAAAGGAGAAAATAAGGGAGGAAAGGGGAAAGAGAAAAAAAAACGTAAGAATAAGAATAAGAATAATTTTATTTCTATACCGCCCTTCTCCCGAAGGACTCAGGGCAGTGTACAGCCTATTAAAAGCACATCAATTAAAATTATTTAAAATTATTAAATAATTCAGCTCAATTTAAAACCCCAGAAATTTAAAACACCCAATTTAAAATCATTATGTTGATAGCCCGGCCTGGCGGAACAACAGGTCTTGAGTGCGCAGTGAAACACCCGGAGGTCGGAGATCTTACGCACTTCCGGGGGCAGTTCATTCCACAGGGCTGGGGCTCCCACAGAGAAGGCCCTCCCCCTGGGTGTCGCCAGCCGACATTACTTGGCCGATGGCACCCTGAGGAGACCCTCTCTGTGGGAGCAAACTGGCCGGTGGGAGGCTACTGGTGGCAGAAGTCGGTCTCGAAGGTACCCGGGTCCTATGCCATGGAGCGCTTTAAAGGGGGAAAGAAAGAGAAAAGCAATGACCTCCGACTCCTTTTGCTGCGGTAGAATAAGAGAATAACATAAAACCTAAACTTTTTACTTTTATTACGTAATAATTAATATATATATAATATATATAATAATATATACCAGGGGGTCCCCTACCTGTGTGAGTGGCCAGGCGATGCGCGGGTCTGCGCTGAAAAATGGCCCCACTTGTGTGAGTGTTGCGAGCATCGTGGGCGGTCATGGCCCCACTCGCGCAAGCATGGAGGTGGCTGATGAGGAAGAGGAGGAACAGCTGGGTCCAGTGCCTGACGCGTGGATGCACAGAAAGCAGAGGAGAGGAGAGCAGTGGAAATCTATGGGCCGGTCCTTGGGACAGAAGAGCCACCACTGCTAATGAAGCCCCACCCTAATTCTGGGGATAAAAGGCAGGGGGCGGAGATAAATAGATGTGGCAGACAACTATTTATCTTCTGGATGGACGGACTTGTTAGCCTGCGTTGAGAGATAAACTTTTTGCTGGCGCTCCTAATAAAGGAATCATTGATTTAACTACAGAGCGTTTGTCGTGTTTGGGGAGTCGGATCAGAACAGAACGGTTGTAAGTCAAGGACTACTCTACAGTTTGCTAAAGAGAACCGGGTGGTTGGAATGAGAATGTGTTTGGTTGATGGCAGCTGCCAGAGTCATGGAATAACTTCCTTTGGTGTTTTGGGTGGAGCGAGAATGGAAAAATTATCCCTGACTTATCTTGGAAAGTCAGCTATTTTCATTTCTCTTAAAACCATTCGGCATCCTTCAGAACTGTCCGGTTGAATCGTTTCTAACAGCGAGAATAGTAAACCCAGCGGAACAAAATTGCCTTCGGAAAATTGTGGGTGCCCCATCCCTGGAGGCCTTTAAGAAAAGACTGGATGGTCCTCTATCAGAAATAGTCTCCTGCGAGAGCAGGGGGCAGGACTGGATGACCTCAAGGATCCCTTCCAACTCCGTTGCTGTTCCTGAATCCGTTTTCCTTTCTCCTCCTTCTCAGGAAAGAGAACAAGAACTGGAGCAGCTGACGAAAGAACTGCGTCAAGTCAACCTTCAACAGTTCATCCAGCAGACGGGGACGAAAGTCACGGTCCTTCCGGCTGAGCCTGTTGAATTGGAGACGTCACACCCAGAGCTGGAGAAAGGTACTTTTGAGATGACCACACACTCTCCTGCCCCCTTCTCTAAAAGCAGATCCTAAGGGGGATCCATTGAAAGTTCACCTTTGGTCTTGGGACATCTGTGGGATGCAGTGGCTAAGAGGCTGAGCTTATCGATTGAAAGGTCGGAAGTTCAGCGGTTCGAATCCCGATTGCCGCGTAACGGGGTGAGCTCCTGTGACTTGTCCCAGCTTCTGCCAACCTAGCAGTTCAAAAGCACATAAAAAATGCAAGTAGAAAAATAGGGACCACCTTTGGTGGGAAGGGAACAGCGTTCCGTGTGCCTTTGGCGTTGAATCATGCTGGCCGCATGACCACGGAGACGTCTTTGGACAGCGCTGGCTCTTCGGCTTTGAAACGGAGATGAGCACTGCCCCCTAGAGTCGGGAACGACTAACACATATGTGCGAGGGGAACCTTTACCTTTAATATACATAGTATAAAATATACAAAGTATAAAATAAAATACTTTGTCCTTCCGAGGTGGGTAAAATGAGGACCCAGATTGTTGGGGGCAAAAGGCTGATTCTGTAAACCACTTAGAGAGGGCTGCAAAGCTTTGTAAAGCCGTATATAAGTACTAGTGCTATTGCTATTTCCTCTGTTGAGTATCTTGTAAGGCACAGATGTCAAACTTGCTGCATCACATTGCCGTCATATGACATTTTGTGATGTTTTTTTCCTTCGCGGAGCTGGGGTGGGCGTGCCCTGTGCGTGATGTATCTGGCCCGCGGGCCGCCAGTTTGACATCCCTGCCGTAAGGTTGCCCTTGACTTACAACTGCAATCGAGCCCAAAATTTCTGTTGCTAAGCGAGACATTTGTTAAGTGAACTTTGTCTAATTTTACGACCTTTCCTGCCACTGTTGTTAAGCGAATCACCGGAAAAATGGTCACAGATCACTTTTTTCAGTGCCGTTGTAACTGAATGAACCGTTGTAATTGGAGGACTGCCTATCCCGGAAGGTGGATGATAAGATTAATGATGGAGCTAAAGATGAATGGAGACCCGCCTTCCTTCCTCCATCCATTCTTCCACCCTTACGGGGTTCGCAATCCACCTTCAGGCAGGACCTGTTAAGGTAACCATGTTCGAAGACTTCATACTAACTTGGTTCTCCTCCCACAGAACCCGTCTTTCAAACTAGCTCCCTCAAACGCCCGAGTTCCTCAAGGCAGCTTCCCAGCAACCTTCGGATCTTGCAGAACCCGCTCTCCTCCGGTTTTAACCCCGAGGGCATTTACGTATAACAGCCCACAAGTTCTTCTTCTGGAGAGGACCTTTGAAGGTAACCAAGGACCGCAGCCCATTTCCTCCTGCCGGGTTTCTTCTTCTCCCCGGGACCTATGACGGAAGAAGACCCCCCCCACCAAATCTGGCATTCGAAAACTTATCACACGGGGGGCATTTCATTGCCTGTTTTTTAATCCGATCGGCGACAAAACGTGGAGTCCCACGCCGGGCGCTGATTATACGACGAAGGACAAAAACGAACGGTGGAGGCCACCGCGGCCCGAACAGCCATGTCAAAATAGCTTTCTTTGTTTTGCTTTAAAAAAAAAAAATTATTATTGCTATTTCTGAAGCATAAATATTTCTTAGCAGGCATCCGTGGCGGATCAGAGACCCACCCTCTTCCCCCCCTCCAAAAAAATTGCTCACTCTGTATGTCAGGGTTATGTGGGGAAACGATGGCCCTTTGATGACGTGTGGACTTCAACTGCCAGAATTCTTGAGCCAGCATCGCTCTCAGGAATCCTGGGAGTTGAAGTCCCTCGTGGCTCTCTCGGGGAATTCTGGGAGTTGAAGTCCACACGTCATCAAAGGGCCATCGTTTCCTCTGTTCTACGCAGTTGGATTAGGGATTAATTTGTGACGTGTGAATGCGGGCATATCGTTTCTAGTCGCGGGTCTTGCTTTCGAGTAGGCCTGTATTACTCACCCATCCATTTGGCTGTTGCTAAAGACGCCATTTTGAATTAAGTTTGTCCTTCTTCACTCCAGTGGTGGGTTGCTCCCGGTTCTGTCCGGTTCTTGCGAACCGGTAGTAAAAGTGGCAGGAGGCTCCGCCCACCCGCCCCCGGACGGCATAATGGACAATCTGCGCAGGCGCAGAAGTTTCTGTGCATGTGGAGAAGCACGCGAAGCAAGCAAGCATGCACACTCCCGTTGTGAACCGGTAGTAAAGATAAGTAGAACCCACCCCTGCTTCACTCCTATGTAGCATCATTTACACCGTGTGTTGATAAGAGCTTGGTATATCTTCCCCAGCCTGTTGCTCATTAGGGGTGTGGTGATGAAGGTGCAACTCAGAGTGAGGGAGCCTAAATATTAAAGAAAAGAAAGCAAACATGCAGCATCCTCCAGCTACTACTAGGTTGCAAGCTTTAGTATGTTTCATAATTGGCCGTGCTAGGGATGTCCACTCCTGTAAGGTGGCTGATGACCAACCGCCTTTTGAAAGAGAGTTGAAGGACAAAATGTTGGATAAAGTCCCATTTTAGGTCACGTAGAACTTGGGGTTTTGCCCCATAATGATGCCATGTCTCAGGGGTGATATGCTCCCAGTTCAGACCGGATCGCCCAATCCCTCCCCCCCACCCCCGGCATTTTTCGGCATTTTTGGCCGAAAAAATGCTTTTAAAAGTAAAAAAAAAAAAAGCCTCTGATGATCGTGCGGCTCAGCTGGGATTGTCAAGAGGCTTTTAAAAGCATTTTACAATCTCTTCAGAGATTGTAGAAAAAAATGCTTTTAAAAGCTTCTGACGATCCCAGTTGAGTTGCCTGATCGTCAGCTGGGATCATCAGACTCTATTAAAAGCATTTTTTCTAACAACCTCTTTGGCTGAAAAAAATGCTCTTAAAAGGCTCTGACGATCCCAGCTGACTTGCCTAATCATCAGAGCCTAAAAGGTTGTAGAAAAAAATGATTTTAAAAGTAAAAAAAAAAAAAAGTTGGCCACACCCACCCAGTCACATTAACCCCCCCTCCCAAACACACACCAAGCCATGCCCACAGAACCGGTAGTAACAAATTTTACATTTCACCACTGCCATGCCTGCAGCGTGAAAAGTGTGTTTGTGTACGTGTGTAGGTGCATGAGAGAGAGAGAGAGAGAGAGAGAGAGAGAAAGAAAGAAAGAAAGAAGAAAGAAAGAAGAAGGAAGGAAGGAAGAAAAAAAGAAAGAAGAAAGAAAGAAAGAAAGAAAGAAAGAAAGAAAGAAAGAAAGAAAGAAAGAAAGAAAGAAAGAAAGAAAATAAATCTGCACAGGTCTGAATGAATGTGTGTGACGATCAAAGCCATGTGGTGTTTTGTCACCGCAAAAAAAGTCACAATGTCAAAAAGAGTTTGTGTTGTGGTGGGTTTTCTTGTGTTACAGCCATTGTGGTATTTTTTTTCTTTCCCTCCTTTTTTTTAATAGCCAATGGATTTTCCCACTTAAAAGGTCCTCAGGCCCAAAACTCCACAGTGTAAGGATTAGCATTTGAAGATCTTCTAGTTAAATAGCGTTTTATGATCCTGAAGTTTATATTTGAGATATTTTGCCATAATGAATTCTACGCCTATCAAAGAACAAAATGCTCCGTCTTCAGTCCAATGTCTTGCCAAAGGAATTTCTCACCGTTTATTTTTATTATTATTATTATTATTGTGACTTTTACCACTACAGTGTTCGTATCATACAGTATCATAGCCAGGAAAGACACAATTTGTTGCGCCAGAAAAACCTGTGTATGGTATTTGGCCAACTGCATAACACTCTATTTTAGTTTATTATTATTATTATTATTATTGCAAAATCAGGTCTGTCAGTTCAGATTGGTTACGGATGTACATAGAATGGATGAAAATTGCTCAGGCCACGAGCTATGAAATAGCTGGACAGCTCCACCCTGATGCCTTGCCTATAGAAAGTATATAATATATATATATATATATATATGCATATATATTTCTATAACTGTTGGCAAAATTATTTCAGCCCCGAATGTGATGGTGATACAAAAAAGGTTCTTGAAGAAATGGTCATTTATTTAAATAAAAAGCACATTTATTTCTAACGTAGCTCGTCACCCAATTACTACCCAAAATAATAGAATAGGTTTTGCAGCGGGAGAATGCATGTCCCAGAACGATAGGAATAATAAGCACATTATTACACATTTCATGTTATTTTAGCAGTTAGATTTCGTACTGTTTAGAAGTGTTATGTCAAAGAGAACACAGGGATATATTTTGAGCATTTTCTGCGTTGCTGAATATTATGGAAATGCCTCACAATTATTCGGAATCCTGATGTTCATTTTGATAACACCGTAAAATCAGAATTCAGGCCTTATTAATTGCATTCCTTTTTTTTTTTTTTTTTTTTTTTTGAGAACAGGGTGATGAAGAAAATGACACTGTTTTGTTTTCTTTGGGGGTCATAACAATATTTTCCTGAAAAAACAAGGTGACTCCGATTTTAAGATAATCCCATTTCTCCTAAGAAGGAGAAAACAGACAAAGAATTCAAAATACCTTGACTCCTATCTTGTGCAGTGCCCAACTCCAGCCGAAACCAGCAGTGTTGTACACACACACTGTACAACTTTGTCAAAAGTTTCGTTTCAGCAAAGGAGAAGCTTTGATTCCCTCAATAAAATAAAATAAAAACTCTTTGTAAATACTTCCCCTTTCCTTTCCTTGATATTCTGGATTTTGCTGATCAGATCTCCGTTAGAGAAATCTGATCTCTCCTTGCCTGGAATTGTAACAAAAACAGGATTTGACACCATGAAAAAAATAATAATAATAATAGTTGGTTGATGTTGGTGGACAAGCTGAAAGGATAACTGGTTTGGCAAATGAATTTTCTTCGGCAACGTCCAATCCGCAAAGGCATAGTGGTGCATTTTGGGATGTTTAACTGCCTGCCCATCTTTCAGTGAGCCCTAGAACCTCTGTAATAGCTCTCTCCAGATGTGCAGGCTTCAGTGTGTACAGTCACCAGATGTGTAAGGTTTCAGTTTCCAGAACTTAGCAGTCAGCTAAGTGTTGGTCCACTTTTCTGGAAAGTGCTAAGATGGAGACAGCGTGGATGGGACCTTCGGCCAAGATTTGCTCCACCCCAAAATTGATCCTTTGTGTTCCTTTGGGAGCAGGAATGTTGAAATGCAACTGTTATTGCCTTCACGTTCATTCAAGTAGTTATTTCATCCAGTGCAAAGTACAAACCATGAGCTAAAGAACTCATTGCAAAAGTTGAGTTGCACTGACGTTTAACTTGGCCTCCTACAACGCTTCTCCAAGCCTAGTCCGTAAAGATCTTGTCCTTCGCTGTGAAATGAACCATCTGCCAACATTTGAATATTTCCTTCCAAGTCTTCTATTAACCAAATTCTTATTTTTCCCCACTATTTCCTAATTTTTGGGCAGAGCCACCAGACGTGGAAGAAGGTGCCTTGTGCCTGATTACACTTCCAACAGATTGGACTTAAATTTGGATACATTTTTGCTAACATTTTTGGAATATTGGGCGTAATATAGAATTGGAAGACTGGGAAAGAGTGTGGGAAAATAATTATACTATAACAAAACCAGTGGTTTATAAAGAGTATCATTACAAAATGTGGTATAGATGGTATCTGGCCCCTTCGAGATTAGCCTTCCAAAGTCTTCAATGAGTTAAGTTTAGTTTAGCTGGTAACAGAATTGTCTTAAAGCTACAATATGAAGTTCTTAAAAAAAAGTGCGGATTAAATCGCTTAAATCCGTCTTTAGTCCTTGGAAATTAAAAAGTCCTCAAAGAGATGTAATTAAAGGGGGTTCCAATAATGGAAAACCAGGCTCTATGGAGCTATTAACTTCCTTCTTAGGGTACAGCCTAAATTATCCTACCTCATTCCCTGCCCTCCTGATAATTTTCCTATGAATCCCAATTCTTCCCACTCAAATATTATGAAGTCTGCAGTCCGACGTTGCATTCGATAAGCTACCCTCTTCAAAAGATATGCAAGAAAATGAATTGTGCAGGTATGATGAGCCCAGTGGGGAATAGAATAGAATAACAGAGTTGGAAGGGACCTTGGAGGTCTTCTAGTCCAACCCCCTGCTCAGCAGGAAAATAGAGGACTTCACATTTTTATTGCTTCTCCATTATGCATGTCATCTTTAATGAGAACCAGAAGGAAAAATACCAACAAAACCCTTTTGTTCTATTTTGTTTTTAAAGGAGAAGAATTGTGGCAAGTCTTGGGGTGATATTTATAGATCCTTAGTCTATGGTAGGGATGTCCAACCTTGGCCACTTGAAGACCTGTGGACTTCCAACTCCCAGAATTCCCCAGCCAGCCATGCCATGGGGAATTCTGGGAGTTGACCTCCACAAGTCTTAAAAGTTGACCACGTTGGGACCATAGAGATGGAGATAAGACCATCTGAAGTCTATCAATCCGTGATGAAGGCCAGTCCTTTGTGTTTTCTAGCCTTCAAAAGATGGTGACACAGGTGAAGCTCAGCCGAAGGCTTCAAAAGCAGCCATTAAGTGCAAAATAATTCATCTGAGTTGATAGACCTCAGCATCGTGTCTATCGGATGGATTAGTCTTTGAGCAACATTTATATTTTCTCCATCTATGAGAAGATCGGTTAGGTTTACTCGCTGGCACAATGTTGCACCTTGACGGAGTCATCCAGACAATTTCCTTCTCTATTTCCTCTTGCAGACTCTCTGAGTCGCACAAAATTCCTAATGTGCTTTATATAATGTGAATTAGGCCTTAATTGTTATTGTACATAACAACCCTGTATTCTGATTTATTTTCCATTATCGAATAGCTCTGTGCTGTATTTTATTAAATACATTATCGAATAGCTCTATGATATATATCTATATCTATCTATATCTGTATATCTGTATATCTATCTAGAGATAGATAGATAGATCAATAGATCGATAGATAGATATAGATATATCACAAAAGTATTACTTTTATATTCCAGCTGTTTTTTTGTTTTTTTTTTAAGGCATTAATTCATGCACATTTATTCTATTTGTTACAGTATTTTCATGTTTTGGATGAAGGCCATCGCTTGTATGGAGATGACAAAACAGTTCTGTTTATTTATTTATTCGCTCGGTATTTTTGCTGCTTTACTATTTTTTGAATAAAATTTCCATTGCCAATACAAGAGCCAACGGATCGAGCGTCCTTGTTATTTAATGAGGTTTTCTTTCAAACACGGTGCTGCCCAGCCGGGTTTCCGATAACGAGCAAAGTCACGTGTGGGAAAACCAGATCCGCTTAACCACCGTAAGTGATTCATTTAACAACTGGGAGAAAGAAGAGATCAAATTTGGTGCTTAACCATCAGCTTGCTTAGCAACGGAAATTCTAGTGGTTGTTAAGCCAAGGATGCAATACACATTACGTAGAGTGGTTTTGAAGGACACCTAAACCAGAGGTGGGTTCTACTTACCTTTACTATGGGTTTGCAACGGGAGCGCACGCGCACTTCTGCACATGTGCAGATTACCCATGATGACGTCGTGGCAGGTGGGTGGAGCCTCGCGCCAGTTTTACTACCGGTTCTATAGAACCGGACCGAACCAGGAGCAACCCATTACTGACCTAAACCTACAATTGTTACAAAATGCAGTACGCCAGTTTCCAAAATGGGCCATTACTGAAAGTTTTTGAGCACTTCCATGCTCTTGAAAGCTTTTCTGTGCACCCAGGGAGATATTTTGAGACCAGGCTGTATTTTTTTTTTAACAAAAGTGCTAAAAATGCACAAAGACCCGAGTTTTATACCTGGCACTTCTTCGATGAGCTCGTGGCAAGTCAAGTGATCACTTTAGGAGAGCAAATCCATAGTTAGTTCAAGAACTTTTAATAACTGGACCAGCCACGCTGCATATATATTAAAGGATCTTTTATTATTATTATTATTCAGTACGATCTCTTAATCTTTTAAGTCACAAAATAGTCTGGAAATATCTGGACAGCAGAAGTCACGATCAGCCGAAAATATCCGATAAAAAGATTAATATCCTATCCTCACATTCTTGATTTTTTTAGACAGCATTTTTTTTCTCCTTTCTGGCAAGCAGCATTTTTTTTAAAAAAAAATAATAATAATTTAAGACAGCATAAGCTTGTATCGAGCAGTGCAACTCTTCTTCTTCTGCTATTCCTCCTCCGAGGAAATATTTTTTAACTCAAAATAGCACGTCTCTTCTACAAAAATAGCACGTGGGAGAATCATTAATCGGATGTAGTGAACAACTATTTACAATAAGCCACACGGCAGGGCCAGGAAAGGGGGATAACTTGGGTTTGATACGGGCATGTGAGGCGAATGGCAGCAGCAGCGGCACAAATGACTAACTCCTCTAAGTTTACTCACTCATCCACAACACTGCCGTGGCTCACCTCTTACATAACATTCAAGCGAGATTTCTCTCCCCGTGCTACCTTGGTAACAGCCTAAAAATATCGAGATGAGGTTTTTGGCTTAAGCCTTATTAAGAAAGCTTTCGTTGCGTGGCGATCTAGCGCTGTCAACGGCTCTCAACCGAAGGAGAAACACGGGGATTTTGGAGACCGAAAGACTTCGCCGTGGAACCTTAAACTACCTTTTGCAAACCACCGTTTCTTAATTGCAGTAAAACCTCCATTGTTGGCCACCTCCCTACATGGACCAAATTTTCGTAGGCGCACACACTATTTTCTAGGGAAATAGATAAGCCAAATTCTCTCTATATATCGACCGTTATCTGGAATCCCAGTTTTGGTCCCCCGCATTACAAAAAAAAAAAAAAAAGATGTTGAGACTTTGGAAAAAAAAAGTGCAGAGAAGAGCAACTAAGAGGATTAAAGGCCTGGAGGTAAAAAATATATAAAGAACGGTTGCAGGATTTGGGTTTGGCCAGTCTAGTGAAAAGGAAGGATTAGTGGGGGACATGATAGCAGTCTTCCAGTATTTGAGGGGCTGCCCCAAAGAGGAGGGAGTCAAGCTATTCTCCAAAGCACCAGAAGGCAGGACAAGAAGCAATGGAGGGAAACTAATCAAGGAGAGAAGCAACCTGGAATTGAGGAGAAACTTCCTAACAGTGAGGACAATTAACCAGTGGAACAACTTGCCACCAGAAGTTGTGGATGCTCCAACACTGGAAGTTTTTAGGAAGAGGCTAGATAGACACTTGGTCTGAAACAGTAGAGTGTCTCCTGCCTGAGCAGGGGGCTGGACTAGAAGACCTCCAAGGTCCCTTCCAGCTCGATTCTGATTATTATTATATTACCGTATTATTATTATTATTAAGGAGAAACTTCCTAACAGTGGGGTGTCAGCGTTCCAGCGCTGACATGAAAGGAGAGGAGAAGCTTGAATTTTTGCCTACTTAATTCCTTTGAAGATTCTGTTTCCTCAGAGATGGGAGGAGGGGGGGACATTCCTGTGATCTGACGGAGATGGGATGAGGAGAATGGCTTGGAAGATAGCCAATGAGACATAGAGAATTGGGGATCGGAAAGGGAGGGCTTGGGGGGCAAAGGTCAGTGCTGACCGTGAAAGAGCCAGGGACAGATCACTATGCTCAATAAAGAGAAAATTTCCTCAAAGATCGGCAGTTTGGAAATTCATTTATTTTGAGATAGCATCAAAACCTGACATGGGGACAATTAATCAGTGGAACAGCTTGCCTTCAGAAGTTGTGGGTGCTTCATCACTGGAGGTTTTTAAGAAAAGTGGAAGAGAATATTTGTAGCTCAGGGTTGAAATGAGGGGTCCTTGGTGCTCTCAGACCTTTCATTACCCAACTAGATAATGTCATCAGTGCTAGAAGGGAGGAGGAGGAAGAGGAGGAGGAGGACTGTGATGGGTCTTTGGTGCTCTGTGAGCTTGGCGGCTTTCTTGCAGACTTCTCATTACCCAACTAGGTAGCCTTATCAGTGAAAGGGAACAGGATGACAAATCACTACTATTTGCAAACATATGAAAAGTTAGATTCGGCCTCCATCATCCGTATGCTTCTCTGGAGGTTAAATGTCTCACTGAAGATGCTAAGATTTATTTCTGAGTAAACATTCATAAAACTGAACTTTTAATGGGAAATCCCTGGGGGGTGTTGGTTTTTTAATTATAATCCTGTCTCATAAATCAAGGGAATTTGAAATCAAGAATGTCTCTTAAGCAACGGGACCAAAGCAATTGTGTTAAGTGTGAATGTATGGGAGTGCACACAATTCTTACATTGCTTGAATCTCTAATGACAAGGCAGGGAAAGGGTGGGTGGAAGGGGGCTTGGCTTCCATGATTGCAGGCGCCATTGTGACTTTTTTGACCTCACACGCTACGCCTGCCAGAAAACAAGTTTGAACAACGTATGGCCTACACCTCATTAAAGTGCTAGTGTACAAGTTAATGGCATTACCCAACTATTAGTTCCTCTCTTCTCTTCCTGTTCTCCACCGACGTGCAAATCTGCTCACACTTGCTGCCCTTCAAAGTGCCTTATAAATCCTGCGCAAGAATTTTTTTTGCTGAAGCTTCGAATCGATAATTTGCATCAGACCAGCGTCAGGAGAGGAGGTCGGTTCCTGTCAGCCTTGCCAGGAAAGCCACAAACGGAAACCCAACCAGAAGAGCTAATTTTATTACGACTACTTTAACAAAGTTGAGCAAGTCTGAAAGTACAAAGCTCTCCCATAATCTCCTTTGCAGCCTGAGAAATTAGGAAGGGTCCCTGCTGACTTTCTTTCCCTGACCATTGTGTAGCTGTGGGCTCAGTGGGCTCTTATTTGATCGATCCTTAAGCAGATTTTGCTTCATATCCCAAGGTCATTCACACATACCATTTCATGTCTATGGAGATTCTCATCCATACAGATCAGGGTTGTGCCTAACTAACTAACTAACTAACTAACTAACTAACTAACTAACTAACTAACTAACTAACTAACCTAATTAACTAACTTTCTTTCTTTTTTCCTTCGTCTACCTTCTTTCCTTCCTTCCTTCCTTCCTTCCTTCCTTCCTTCCTTCCTTCCTTCCTTCCTTCCTTCCTTCCTTCCTTCCCTCTCTTATTCCCTTTCTTATTCTTCTTCCTGGTGGCGCAGTGGTCAGAACGCAGTATTGCAGGCTAATTTGTGCTCACTGCCAACAGTTCGATTCTCACCAGGCTCAAGATTGACTCAGCCTTCCGTCCTTCTGAGGTCAGTAAAACGAGGACCCAGATTGTTGGGGGGGCGACATGCTGACTCTGTAAACCGCTTAGAGAGGGATGTAAAGCTTTGCTGGCTGGGGAATTCTGGGAGTTGAAGTCCTCCAGGTTTAAAGTGCGCAAGGTTGGAGACCCCTGTTGCAAAGGATGCTTCCCAGAGGACCTCAGCAAAGCAGGAGGCAGAAATGGGATTTTTTTTCTCTGTTTAAAAAAATATCCAGAGACAATCAATAGTCAATTCCCGCTTGTGGGAATCCCCCCCACCCTAATTTCCTGGGGGAGGGGATTAAATGCTGGACCTTTGCAAAGGTTTCTCCCGGCCGGGCTGCAGAGCGAGCTTTGGGGAAGGGCGAGAAGGATCCGTGTCTGGGTTTAGCCTGGCCGGCTTGCCGGGGGAGAAAAACCGGGGAGGGGGCTGAGCAGCGGGGGCTCCCTCCCCGGGAAAGAGGGGGGCTGTTTCTGCCCCCAAAAGCGAGCTCCCTTTCTCGGCTGCTGCTCCGGGGGCAGCCACAACGAGGGAAGGAAAAGCAGTGGCACCTGCAGCCCCTTGGATGGGCATCCCTGGGTAGACGAAGGGGAGGGGTCCCCCAGCCCCCCCAGCGGGAGAGAGCGATTTTTCCAAGCTGATCTTTTCCAGGAAAGGCTGCATGTAAGATGAGGGGGTGATGAAGTAGAAAGGTAAGCAAAAAGGGGCGGTGGGGGCTTGGCCTAAGAGAGACCCCCCAAGACCCCCACTGGCCCCCACGCCCAAAGCCACCAGGGGGTTGAGAAGAGCCGAGTCCGGCTTCCCCACAACCCCTTGCTGCCCCGTGGTGGAGGAGGGGCTGCCAGGGTTCCCCAGCCTGCGTCTTTTGGACCCCTCGGGGGCTTCCTCAACCTCTTCCTCCTCCCCTCCGTCGCCCGCGGGCTCCCGCTTGACCGTCCAGCCGGCCTGGGGGGTCTTCCCCTCACACTCGCCGCCGTAGCCACTGTCCGTGTCGGTGTCGTGCTCCCCGCCTTGCTCCGGGATGTTGGGGGGCAGGTGATGGGTGGTTGCTGGGCCCTTACCCCATTTTGAGTCCTTTGGATGACGGGCACGCAGTGAGGCTGGGGGTGCTCCTGCTTCAGGGTCCTGCCGGGATGTTGCTCCTCCTGCTGCTGCTGCCCTTCCCGAGGGGAGCATCGTCCTTGGGTCCCGCAAAGCTTTGGGATCAAGAGGGGCGAGCCAGGCAGGAATCTCGTGCAAACCGAGTGGAGGTGTCCCAGCATCTGGATGCAGCATTGCTCCCGGCTGGTCCAGCTTTCGGATCGGGAGAGGTAGTGCAAAACTTCTTTGGTGCAAGTTTGGAAGCCTGAGTGGAAAGCCTCCAGGTCGGACCGCGGAGGGGACTTCGGGGATCGGTCTCCTGCGAGAAAAACACACGAGAGGATGGTCAAACTCACCTCGGCCGGTTAGATTCCCACCCACCTCTCCAAGAGCCACCGGCCCAGGAATGAGGCAGAGGGGTCCTTGGTGCTCAGAGAACTTGGGGAGTTTTCCTGCAGACATTGCGTGACCCATCTAGGTAACCTCATCAGTGCTAGAAGGGAGGAGGAGGAGGAGGAGGAGGAAAGAGGAGGAGGAAGGGAAGAAGAAGGAGGAGGACTGAGAGGGTCCTTGGAGCTCTCTGAGCTTGGGGGTTGTCTTGCAGACATCTCATGACCCATATAGGAAACATCATCAGTGCTTGAAGGGAATGGAATTGGAGGAGGAAGAGGAGGACGACGACTGAGGGGGTCCTTGGTGTTCTCTGAAAGGAGGGGATTGTAGGGGGAAGAGGAGAGGGAGGATGGGAAAAGGAGGAGGACTGTGGGGTCCTTGGTGCTCTCTGAGTTTTGTAGTTTTCTTGCAGACATCTCACGACCCATCTAGGTAACATCATCAGGGATAATGGAACATCTGCAAGAAAACCACCAAGTTCCCAGAGCCCCAAAGGACCCATTTCAACCCTGAACGAGGCAGAATTTGATTGCTGCTTTAATCAAATCCCCACCTTTTCTATTTCAAAAGAAAAAAAAAACCCTGAAAAGGATCCAGATTCTGATCCAACCTTTTCAGCAGTTAGGGGAGAAAACAGGTCCTCATGGGGCCAACAGGTAACTCATGACAGCTCCATTTAAAAAAAAAAAAATCATTTGCTGGAGCAAAAAACTTTGGAGTTGATGGCTAAAGACACTGGTCTAGAAGCTTTGGAGACCCTGAGTTCTAGTCCTGCCTTTGGCACGATATCAGCTAGATGTCCTCAGGCAGTCCCTTTCTCTCTCTCTCTGCCCTAGGAAGAAACAGGCCAGGGCAAAACACTTCTGAAAATGCTATAAAGAAAATTTCAGAGGCTTTTTTAGACATTATCCAGCAGTCAGGACCGACTTGAAAAGGGAGAAAATAATCAAAAACCCTTCGTGAAATGAGATTTACTTTCAAGTAAACCTAGATAGTAGCAATTGCAGAGCAACCATCCTCTCTGTCTCTCTCTCTCCCTCTCTCTCTCTCTCTCTTTCTCTCTTTCTCTCTGTCTCTCTCTCTGTCACTCTCCCTGTCTCTTTCTCTCTCTCTGTCTTTCTCTCTCTGTGTTCTATCTCTCTCTCTCTCTCTCTGTCTCTCTCTTTTTTCTCTCTCTCTGTCTTTCTCTCTGTGTGTCTATCTCTCTGTCTCTCTTGTCTCTTTCTCTCTCTCTCTCTGTCTCTCTCTTTCTATCTATCTCTCTGTCTCTCTTTTCTCTCTCTCTCTCTCTGTCTCTGTCTCTCTCTGTCTTTCTCTCTGTCTCTTTCTCTCTCTGTGTCTTTCTCTCTCTCTCTCTCTCTTTCTATCTCTGTCTCTCTCTGTCTCTCTCTTTTCTCTCTCTCTGTCTCTCTCTCTCTCTCTCTGTCTCTCTTTTCTCTCTCTCTGTCTGTCTCTCTGTGTGTCTATCTCTCTCTCTCTCTGTCTCTCTCTTTTTTCTCTCTCTCTGTCTTTCTCTCTGTGTGTCTATCTCTCTGTCTCTCTTGTCTCTCTCTCTCTCTTTCTATCTCTCTCTCTGTCTCTCTCTATCTCTCTCTCTCTGTCTCTCTTTTCTCTCTCTCTCTCTCTGTCTCTGTCTCTCTCTGTCTTTATCTCTGTCTCTTTCTCTCTCTCTGTCTTTCTCTCTCTCTCTCTCTGTCTTTCTATCTCTGTCTCTCTCTTTTCTCTCTCTCTCTGTCTCTCTCACTCTGTCTCTCTTTTCTCTCTCTCTGTCTGTCTCTGTCTCTCTCTGTCTTTCTCTCTGTCTCTTTCTCTCTCTCTGTCTAACTCTCTGTCTCTCTTTCTCTCTGTCTCTCTTTCTGTCTCTCTCTTCTTTCTCTCTCTCTCTGTCTCTCTCTGTCTCTTTCTCTGTGTCTCTCTCTCTTTCTGTCTCTCTCTCTCCCTCTCCCTCTCTCTGTCTCTCCCTCCCCCCTACTCTCCCCCTCTCCCCCTTTCTCTCTCTCTCTCTTTCTCTTTGTCTTTCTCTCTCCATCTCCCTCTCTCTCCTCTGTCTCTCTCATTTAGACCTTTCTTTTACATTCTTTCTGGGGCTAGATTTTCCTTCCTTACCGTTCTGTAGAGCAATGATTTTCTGGTGCTGTTGTTCCGTTAAGGCAGTTAAAGTTTTGACGTGCTTCAGGGTTAATTCCAGAACGACCGCTTTCTCCAGATGCCCCAATGTCTGGAAAGGAAAAGGGAGGGAGAGAGGCCCATAGTCACAACCACCTTGTGATCGTCTACCCGGTTTTCCAAAGTTCGTTAAAATCAGTTTGAAAGAAATCCTGTCCCATTTTGGTTTACCAGAGTTGGAGGTCTTCTACTCCAACTCCCTGCTCAGAAAACCTGCTGTCCCACTGCTCAGGACAGTTGTCCAATCTCTTCTTAAAAACCTCCAGTGATGGAGCATTCACAACTTCTGGAGGCAAGCTGTTCCACCGATTAATTGTCCTCCCAGTCAGGAAATTTCTCCTTAATTCTAGGTTGCTTCTCTCCTTGATGAGTTTCCATGCATTGCTTCTTGTCCTACCTTTGGGTGCTTTGGAGAATAGCTTGACTCCCTCTTCTTTGGGGCAGCCCCTCAAATACTGGAAGACTGCTATCATGTCATCCCTTGTCCTTCTTTTCATTAAACTAGACATACCCAGTTCCTGTTTTATCCTCCAGTCCCCTAATCCTCTTTGTTGCTCTTCTCTGCACACTTTCCAGAGTCTCAACATCTTTTTTTATATCCTGTCTGACCAAAACTTGTTTGTGACAACGTACCCAATTTTAAAGGGGCCTCTCTTGTGCGTCTACAAAGGTAAAAAGGTAAAGGTTTCCCTTGCAAATATGTCCTAGTCGTTCCTGACTCTAGGGGGCGATGCTCATCTCCGTTTCAAAGCCGAAGAGCCAGCGCTGTCTGAAGACGTCTCCGTGGTCATGTGGCCGGCATGACTTAACGCCAAAGGCACACGGAACGCTGTTCCCTTCCCACCAAAGATGGTCCCTATTTTTCTACTTGCATTTTTTACCTGCTTTCGAACTGCTAGGTTGGCAGAAGCTGGGACAAGTCACGGGAGCTCACCCCGTTACACGACATTCGGGATTCGAACCGCTGAACTGCCGACCTTTCGATTGACAAGCTCAGCATCTCAGCCACTGAGCCACCTCCTCACAGTACCTACAAAGGTACTGTGGGACAAATAGCACCCATCACATTCTTGGGACCGCTTAAGGCTTGGGAAAAACGGATAAAAACACTGGGCACCTTAAAATGAACCCCCTGTAATGAAATTCACTTCCACCCCAACCGAATATTAAAAGGTTCCAGGTCAGCATATTTACTCAGGAGGAGTAAGCCCCATAGGAGCCAGTTTGGGGTAGCGGTGAAGGCATCAAACTAGAAACCAGGAGCCGGGGAGTTCTAGTTCTGCTTTAAGCCACAAAGCCAGCTGGGTGAATTTGGGCCAGTCACCCTCTCCCAGCCCTCAGAAGCAGGCAATGGCAAAGCACTTCTGGAGTCTTGCCAAAAAAACCACAAGGGACTCGTCCAGATAGCAAACGACACTTACTCAGAGGTACACACAGAGACAAATTTCCCAGAAAGTTGGTTTTGGTTTTTCTTTCCCCCAATAAGCAAAGATAGGCACATGGGGTGTCACTTCAATTATAGACTATAACCGTCATGGCGAACCTATGGCACTCATTGCCAGCTCCTCAACTGGTATCCAACTGGTCTTCGCGGGTGCTGGAGGAGCACCAGAAAATGGCCCCCAAAACGGCCTGAAAATGGCCTGAGAACAGCCCAAAAAACAGTCCGAAAAAAAGTGAGAGGAAGAAACCTTACCGTGAGTTTGAGATGTTCGGGGAGCAAGTCCTTCAACTGAGCGATGCATTCGTTGATCCGGTCTCGTCTTTTCTTCTCGATCAGCCGGTGGGGCAGTTTGTAGGTTTCCTAATCCGAAGGAGAAAGAAAAAGAGGATTTGATTTGAAAATGATTTTTTTCCCCCTCTGGGGAGATTAAGTTTTTGCAGTTTCCAACGTTCATAATTGGGGAAATAAAGTCCCAAACGAATCACCCTGTTTTTTGTATTGTTGTTGTTGTTGTTGTTATTATTATTATTATTATTATTGTTGTTTTATTATTATTATTGTTGTTGTTGTTGTTGTTGTTATTATTATTATTATTATCTCTTTTATTCATTAAACATGAAACTCAAGTCAGCTGGACATTCAAAAATGCATCCCAAATACCATTGACTGGTGCTAATGGTTGATACGGGTTGCTGCCAGCGTCCTAGGTATCAAATTATTATTATTATTATTTTATTATTATTAATTATTAATTATTATTATTATTATTATATAATATACTTGATTCATTAAACATGAAACTCAGTCAACTGAATAATCAAAAATGCATCACAAATACCATTGACTGGGGCTAATGGTTAATATGGGTTGCTGCCAGCAATTTTTTTTATTATTATTATTATTATTATTATTATTATTAATTATTATTATTATTATTATAATTATTATTACTATTACCTTACTATTATTACTATTATTACTATTATTATTATTTTGGAAAAAGAAGTTACTGGAAGGGGGGAAGAAAGAGCTTGGGAAAGCTGAGTCTTCTTACCTTGCTCTCATCCCTCTTCATGCTTCTCCTGGAGGGGCACATCATGGGCGAGGGAGAATAATCCAGGCTGCAGAAGGCAGGGAAAAGGGGGGGGAAAGAGGCGAAAAAGTCTGGGGCGAAGCTCGGGCATTCCACCCACCCCACTCCACACCCCCACCCGGTCAGGAGGCAGAGGGACACGTGCGCTTCCCGAGGATGCCCGGAGCCCAGCAGAGACAATCCCTGGCACGCGGGAGGAGCAGGAAGCACGCGAGGGCCCCGCACACGCTGACACGCAGCCACAGACAGATCAATTTAGAGAGGGAGGGAGGAGAAGAGAGAGAGGGAGGGAGAAAGCCTGGCCCCGCTTTGCAATGCCGGGGTCTCCCTCTAAAATCGTTACCATATTAGCTTCCTCCTCCTCCTCCCTGCAAACCCCACTCCCTCCTAGCACTGATGATGTTACCTAGTTGGATCATAAGACGTCTGCAAGAACATTTCCAAGCTCGAAGACCCCTAAGGACCTACCACAATAATCCTCCTCCTCCTCCTCCCCCTCCTCCCTGCAAACCCCACTCCCTCCTAGCACTGATGATGTTACCTAGTTGGCTCATGAGACGTCTGCAAGAACATTCCAAGCTCAGACCCCCAAGGACCCCACAACCTCCTCCTCCCTCAAACCCCACTCCCTCCTAGCACTGATGATGTTACCTAGTGTGGGTCATGAGACGTCTGCAAGAAAACAACCCAGTTCAGACAGCATCAAGGACTCCCCTCTCCCAATCCCCCCCCTCCTTCTCCTCCTCCTCCCCCCCCCCCCGTCAGCCAGAAGCCCTACCCTCTGATGTCCCGAAACTGCTCTAAATCCGGCCTTCCGTGCAGCGGAGGGGTCTCTTCATCCATGCCGGGCCAGGTGGCTGCAGGCCAGTTGAAGTAGCTTGAGGAAGCTGGGGACGCTGGCTTCCTCCCCCCTTTTTTTCCCCTTCCCCCTTCTCCAAGCTTTTGTGGCAGGTGGGCGGAGGTGGGAACTGCTGGAAGGTCGTCTTTCCTCTCCCTCCTCTCTCTCTCTGTCTCTTTCTTTCTTTCCTTCTCTCTCTCTCTCTCCTTCACCCTTTCTCCCTCTCTCCTCTCTTTCCTTCTCTCTCTCTCTCTCCTTCTCCTTTCTCTCTCTCTCTCTCTCTTTCTTTCCTTCTCTCTCTCTCCTCCTTTTCCTTCTCCTTCTCTCTTTCCTTCTCCCTTTTCTCTCTCTTTCTTTCTCTCTCTCTCTCCTTCTCCCTCTCTCTTTCCTTCTTCTCCTTTCTCTCTCTCTCTCTTTCTTTCCTTCTCTCCTCCTCTCTTCCTTCTCTCTTTCTCCTTCTCCTTCTCCTCTTTTCTCTCCCTTTTTCTCTATCTGTCTGCCCACCCACCCCACCCCACCCCCACTTCCTTGCCCCCGCGACAGCCCCCGGGTCCCTGTCTGCTCAGGCGCTCGCCCTCCCGCAGGGCACACGCGTTGCCAGCCAGCCCAGCAGCCGCGGCTCACGTGCGGAACGTACCGTGCAAACTCGGAGCTGGGGGGGTTGTTGGAGAAGGGGGGGGGACAGGGAGGCCGGGAGGCGGGGACAGCTGGCCAGGCGACCGGAACGGGTGGAAGAGAAGTGGGGGGTGGGGGGTGGGGAGAGGACGGCGACAAGTTAGCCAGGCTGCCACCTTTCTTTCCCCCCCCCCCACCCCGGGAGGGGGAAGGGAAGGAAGGGGTCCCGGGGGGTCCCGGGCAAACATTGCCCCTTCCAGCTATCCAAGGACAGCCCGTAAACCTAGTGGACTTTTTTTTTTTTTTTTGGAGCTGTGCCCCTTGGCGTGGGTCTTCTGTGTGCCCACTCAGGGGGTAAAGACTTGGGCAGCCTCACCCGGGAAAGTCGGGAAGAGAGATCGCGGCCGGATGGATGGATGAATAGAGAGAGAGAGAGAGAGAGAGAGAGAGAGAGAGAGAGAGAGAGAGAGAGAGAGAGAGAGAGAGAGAGAGAGAGAGAGAGAGAGAGAGAGAGAGAGAGAGATGATAGCTAGAGAGAGAGAAAGATAATAGAGAGAGAGAGGGAGGATGGATGGATGAAGAGAGAGAGAGAGAGAGAGAGAGAGAGAGAGATGATAGCTAAGAGAGAGAGAGAAAGATAATAGAGAGAGAGGAGGGAGGATGATGGATGAAGAGAGAGAGAGAGAGAGAGAGAGAGAGAGATGATCGCTAGAGAGAGAGAGAGAAAGATAATAGAGAGAGAGGATGGATGGATGAGAGAGAGAGAGAGAGAAAGAGATGATAGCTAGAGAGAGAGAAAGATAATAGACACAGAGAGAGGATGGATGGATGAGAGAGAGAGAGGGGGGGATGGATGGTGGGCGAGTGGGCTTCTGCTGGCTGCCCGGAACGGAGGGCATGGCGTAAGGTCCGGCCAAATCCCACGAAGAGAGGGACTCTTGGATGGGAAGGAAATCCCCGCGGAGGGAGTGGGAATCCCCCTCTGCGGTTAAGCCCGCAATGCAGGGCTCCCCTCTTTTTCCGCGAGACCCCCGGATCAGAAGAGAGCCAACGCGGGGTTTGGCTGGCTGTTGGGGCATCGCTGGGGCACCTGTCCGCGAACGGTTGCTTCTAGGAGGGGTTTATTGCAAAAGTATCTAGGGAGATTTATTGCAAAAGGGCTTATTATATCCCCCCCTCTCTCTCATTCCAGACAGACCCCCCCCCTCTCCTCCCCCGCCCGTTGTCCCAGACTGGCTTCCCCTAGCGGGGACATCCTCACCCTCCCCCATCACACTGGTAGCCCTTGAAAATGACTCGGAAAGGTGGCAAAGTGGGGGGGGGAGGGCTACAGTGCCAACCTCAGCCCGCCGGCCTTTCCCCCGACCCTAGCTGAGGAAGGGGGGGCTCTCTTCTCTGCTGCTGCCTCCAGGTCGTGCAAGGAAGGACCTGGGGAAGGGGGCTTGCTTGCCCATATCCAGGCGTCCCCGTGTGCCTTGCGCCCCCCCACCTCACCCCCCGAGGATGGCATCCTGGCATCCTCCAGTTGGGCCTCTTTAAAAAGAAAGAAAGAAAGAAAAGAAAGAAAGAAGAAGGAAGGAAAGGAAAGGAAAGGAAAGAAAGGAAAGGAAAGAAAGAAAGAAAAAAGAAAGAAAGAAAGAAAGAAGAAAGAAAGAAAAGAAAGAAAGAAAGAAAGAAGGAAGGAAGGAAAGGAAGGAAGGAAGAAGGAAAGAAGGAAGGAAGGAAAGAAAGAAAGGAAAGAAAGAAGGGAAGGAAAGAAAGGAAAGGAAAGAAAGGAAAGGAAAGAAAGAAAGAAAGAAAGAAAAAGAAAGAAAGGAAAGAAAGAAAGAAAGAAAGAAAGAAAAGAAAGGAAGGAAGGAAGGAGGAAGGGGAAGGGAAGGAAGGGAAGGGAAGGAAGGGAAGGAAGGGAAGAAAGGAAGGAAGGAAGGAAGGAAGAAGGAAGGAGGAAGGAAGGAAGAAAGGAAGGAAGGAAGACAGAAAAGAAAGGAAAGAAAGAAAGGAAGGAAGGAAGGAAGGAAGGAAGGAAAGAAAGAAAGAAAGAAAAGAAAGGAAGGAAGGAAAGGAAAGGAAAGAAAGAAAGGAAAGGAAAGAAAGAAAGAAAGAAAGAAAGAAAAGAAAATAGGAAGGAAGGAAGGAAGGAAAGGAAAGGAAAGGAAAGGAAAGGAAAGGAAAGAAGAAAGAGAAAGGAAAGAAAGAAAGAAAGGAAAGAAAGGAAAGAAAGAAAAAAGAAAGAAAGAAAAGAAAGGGAAGGGAAAAAAGGAAGGAAGGAAAGAAAGAAAGAAAGAAAGAAAGAAAGGAAAGAAAGAAAGAAAGAAAGGAAGAAGGAAGGAAGGAAAAGAAAGAAAGAAAAAGGAAGGAAAGGGAAGGAAGAAGGAAGGAAGGAAAGGAAAGGAAAGAAGGAAGGAAGAAGAAAGAAAGAAAGAAAGAAAGAAAGAAAGAAAGAAAGAAAGAAAGAAGGAAGAAGAATAATAATAAAAAAAAAGGCCGGCGGGAGGGCGGGGAAGCCCCTCCTCTTTAATCCGTCTCAAGCTGGTACCAGCACAAGGCCAGGCAACGTGAGCTGTCCCGTGCCACCGCCGCCTCTGCCACCGCCACCGCCGGGAGATTGAAGGGCTGCTGCGCGTGTGGAAGCCACTTGCCGGCTGCAAGGACGTTCTGCTTGGTGGCAGCCCTGGGAAGCCGGCCAGGACAGCCCAGGGCCTCCCTCCCTCTCTCTCCCCCTCCCCACCAAACCAAGCGGAGGAGGGGCTATAGGGAGGAGGCTGCAGCGATAGGGCAGAGCTAGGACTGGAGGGTTTTGGAGAGAGGGAGTGGGAGGGGGGGCTTTTTCTGATGGTTTCTACCTCCAGCGTGGAAAAGCCAAGGGCTCTGCACATAGAACCAGAGTTGGAAGGGTCCTTAGAGGTCATCTAGTCCAACCCCCTTCCCTGCTCAAGCAGGAGATCCTCCCCTTGGCGGAATCATGCTCGGAGAGGCAGGTGAGGACAGCCAAGGGCCTCCCCTCCCTTCCCCCCCCCCCGCCACCAAACCAGGCGGGGGGGGGGAGCAGAGGAGGAGAAGGGGAAGATGGGCCAGGGAGTATGTTGCAGCAAGAAAGGGCAGAGCTAGAACTGAAGAGATTCTGGAGAGAGAGAGGGAGGGAGGGAGGGAGGAGAGGAGGGAGGGGGGGGAGGGCCTAAGGGGTCTTCTGGTGGTTTCTATCTGGGGGGGGAGGGGGGTTTCCTCCAGCATAGAAAGGCCAGAAGCTCTGCACATAGAATCCTAGAATGACAAGTTAAAAGGGACCTTGGAGGTCATCTAGTCCAACCCCCTCCCCTGGTCAAGCAGGAGACCCTTACAGAATCATGCTTAGAGAGGCAGAAGAGGACAGCCAAAGGCCTCCCCTCCCCTCCCCCAAACCAAGCAGGGGTGAGCACGGGAGGGGGAGTGGAGGATGGGGTATAGGGAGTAGGCTGCAGGGAAAGGGCAGAGCTAGAATTGAAGGACTCTGGAGAGAGGGAGGGGGCACCTAAGGGGGGGGTCGTCTTCTGGTGGTTTCTATCTCCGGGGTGGGGGGTGTCCTCCAGCATAGAAAGGCCGGGAGCTCTGCACATGCTCAGAGACAGGTGAGATCTGTCATTTAAGGCAGCGGCCTCCAACCGTTTCAGCTTGGGGGACCAGCGTAGATGAAGTCGGTGGGAGGTGGGGGAGGGAGAGGGGATGCTTTCGCACCACTTCAGAATGGGCCACGGGCTGGCACTGGGCGGCGGTCCGGGGATTGGGGATCCCTGATTTAAGGGTATTGGGCTTTTTTTTTTACGTTTCCAGAGGGGATAAGGAGTGACTGAAATGTCTGAAATGGTATGGGACTCTTGCTTGAGCAAGAGGCTGGACTAGAAGACCTCCAGGTCCCTTCCCGCTCTATTCCAATTAACAATCTTTTTCAAGTAGTATAATTGTAAAACCTTGAAGAAAAGGCCCTAATCCCAGCAAAGCTGCCATGTTTTAATGAGTGTTTTGATTATTAAGCAGAAAATTTTTCATAACCTCGTTTTAAATTGGTCACCAACAGCCGTTTAACTGGGATTCAGTTTCACACATGCATTTTTATTCAAATTTATTCACTGGAAGCCTTCAAGAAGAGAGCGGACTGCTATCTATAAGAAATGGTGTAGAAGGTCTGCAATTTGGGTCTCTGAAAGGATGCAAATGACCAGCTGTCTGCAAGGAGTATCAATCCTTCCATTCCCCACTATTCTGTCAGAGCTGAAGAAGCTTCTGGGATGAGAAGCGAAAGGTCTTCAAAGAAAAAACCAGAAAGTCCACTTGCCTCTTGAAAAAAGCACCTTTGGGACAACCATGGACCTGGAGGATGGAGAATCTCTACAAACCTCAAAGGTTGTTTGAAGTTTAGATAACCAAATTTGACACCAAGAAACCTTTTTTCCTGATCAAGAGATAGGAGCCTGCCATCCTTCTGTAACTTTTATCTTTTCAATTTAGGGACCCGTCGGAAGCGATCTAATCGATCCAAAGGGCCACTGGATTTTTTAAAAAAGATTTCTCTACATTCCAGCCTAATGCCTTTATAAAACCTCACCCCCATTTTAAAAGAGAGAAAAGTTAAAGTCGAATCAAAACCTAGAAGGTCGTTGTGTTTAAAATACAAAGTGAAATATAACTATGTTAGCTAAACAAATGAGAGAAGAGAAGAGAAGAGAAGAGAAGAAGGGAGAAGGAGGAGAAGAGAATAGAAGAAGAAGAGAAGGGAAGAGAAGGGAAAGGGAAGGAATGGAAGAGAAAGAAGAGAAGAAGGGAGAAAGGGAGAAGGGAATAGGGAATAGAATAGAAGAGAATAGAAGAGAAGAGAAGAGAATAGAAAAGGAGGAAAGAAAAGAATAAGAGAATGAGAGAAGTAGGAGCAAAAGGAATAGAATAGAATAGAACAAAATGCAGAACAGAATAGAACAGAAGAGAAAATTAGAAGAGAAGAGAAGAGAAGAAAGAAAAGAAACAAGAGAATAGAATAAGAAAATGGAGTGGAGTAGAATGGAATGGAATAGAATAAGGATTAGAATAGATAGAATAGATAGAATATGGAATAGAATAGAATAGAATAGAATAGAATAGAATAGAATAGAATACAATAATATAGAATAGAATAGAATAGAAGAAGGAGAAAGAGAAGGAGAAGGAAAAGAGGGAAAGAAGAGGTATAGGAGAAGAATGAGAGAAGTGAGCAAAAGGAATAGAATAGAATAGAATAGAATAAATAGAATAGAATAGAATAGAATTAGAATAGAATAGAAGAAGGAGAAAGGAAAAGGAAAAGGAGGAAAGAAGAGGTAGTAGGAGAAGAATGAGAGAAGTAGAGCAAAAGAAAGAATAGAATAGAATAGAATAGAATAGAATAGAATAGAAGAAGGGAGAAGGAGAAGGAAAGGAAAAGGAGGGAAAGAAGAGGTAGTAGGAGAAGAATGAGAGAAGTAGGAGCAAAAAGGAATAGAAATAGAATAGAATAGAAATAGAATAGAATAGAATAGAAATAGAATAGAGAAATAAGAAAGAAACAAGAGAATAGAATAAGAAATGAGTGGGAGTAGAATAGAATAGAATAGAATAGAAAGAATAGAATAGAATAGAATAGAATAGAGTAGAGTAGAAGAAGGAGAAGGAGAAGGAGAAGGAAAAGGAAAAGAGGGAAAGAAGAGGTAGTAGGAGGAAGAATGAGAGAAGTAGGACAAAAGGAATAGAATCGAATAGAATAGAATAGAATAGAATAGAATAGAATAGAATAGAATAGAATAGAATAGAATAGAACAAAATGCAGACTAGACTAGACTAGACTAAGACTAGAATCACAGAGTGGGAAGGGACCTTGGAGGTCTTCTAGCCGACCCCCTGCCTAGGCAGGAAACCTTACACGAGCTGCCCCTCCGTAACGCGCGTCCTCTTCCCGGCTCCCGAAAGAAGCCCGCGGACCAACGCCCCAGCTTCCCGGTAGCCGTGCCTGTCGGCCGTCCCTCCGTTACCCCCCCTCGACACCCCCCTCCCCTCTTCTCACCGTCTATATGTGGTGTTGGGAATCCGCGGCGGCCCCTCCGAAGGGTTCCCATATTTGTTCAAAAAAGCCGAGGAGCCGAGCGGGAGGTTGCCCGGAGAGAGGGAGGGGGCATCGCCAACCCTCGACTCGCGTCCGAGGGGGTTGAAGCGTGTCTCTCTTTGCCCCGGGGGTCGTCGGAATGGGGTCCAAGACGAAAGGAGCGCCCCCCAAGCCCCCCGCCAAAGAGCCCAGGGTCGCCCCTGGCAAGGAGACCCCAGCAGCAGCAGCAGCAGCCCCTCTGGGCAAGAAGAGCCCCCCGCCGACCAGGAGGATGCCAAGGCGGGCAAGGAAGAGGACGTTCACACGTGCTGCGGTTGCAGGTTCCCGTTGCTGGCGGCTTTGCTGCAGGCTGTCCTGGGCGTCTCCATCACCGTCCTGCCTTCCTCATGGCCGAGTTCAGCCCTTCGTTGCTGCTCAGGGAGACGCCCTATTGGGCTGGAGCGCTTGTAAGCATCCCGGGCTCGGGGTTGGAAGGCGAGGCGGGGGTCTCCGCTGCCCCCACCCCCGCGCTAAGCGTCTGCATGCGCTACTCGGCTCCGGCTCGGCGGGGAAGGGTGTGGGCTTCAGAAGCTCTAAGGATGCTGCTTTGGAAATGAGAGGTGGGTGGTGGATGGGTGGGTGGGTTCCTTGGGGGTCTCTGAGCTTGGGGGTGGGGTGTTGTTGCAGACGTCTCGTGGCCCAACGGGGTAACATCATCAGTGCTTGAAGGGAGAGGAGTGTGGAGTGGAGGAGGAGGAGAGGAGGAGGAGGAGGAGGAAAAGAGGAGGGGGAGGACGGGGGGAGGAGGAGGAGAAGGAGAAGGAGAAGAAGAAGAAGAAGAAGAAGGAAGGAGAAGGAGGGGGAGGAGGAGAAGAAGGAGGAGGAGGAGGAGAAGAAGGAAGGAGGAGAAGGAGAAGGAGAAGAAGGAAGGAGGAGGAGGAGGAGGAGGAGAAGGAAGGAAGGGAGGAGGAGAGGAGGAGGAGGAGAAGGAGAAGGAGTAGTAGTAGTAGTTAGTAGTAGTAGTAGTAGTAGTAGTAGTAGTAGTAATTGGTGGTCTCTGGGCTTGGGGGTGTTTTTTGCAAACATTTCGTGACCCAACTAGGGAACATCATCAAAGCTGGAAGGGAGAGGAGGAGGAGGACTGTGGGGGTCCTTTGTGCTCTCTGAGTTTGGTGGTTTTCTTGCAGACGTTTCATGACCCAACTAGGGAACATCATCAAAGCTGGAAGGGATGTGTGGAGAGGAGGGGGACTGTGGGATCCTTGGTACTTTCTGAATTTAGTTGTTTTCTTGCCGATGTCTCATTACCAAACTAGGGAACATCCTCAGTGCTAGAAAAAGAAAGTGGGATTTGTGGGCAGGGGTTGAGGAGGAGGAGGAGGAGGAGGAGGAGGAGGAGGAGGAGGAGGAGGAGAGAGGACAACAACTGTGGGGGTCTTTGGTGCCCTGGGGCTTGGATGTTTACTTGCAGATGTGTTCTTATCCAACTAGACAATGCAAGAAGCAAACCTACTCCCTTCTATCATTGATAATGTTACCTAGTTTGGTAACGAAACATCTGCAAGAAAACTACCAAGCTCAAAAAGCACCAAGGAGCCCTCAGTCCTCTCTCTTCCTCCTCGCCCCAAACCCCTCTTCCTTCTACCACTGATGATGTTACTTAGTTGGGTCGTGAGATGTCTGCAAGAAAAGCACCAAGCTCAGAGACCGCCAGGGACCTCACAGTCCAACCCTGAGCTACAAATACTGTCTTCTATTGGAAAGAGGGATATCTTCCTCCTTGCTTCTTCCACCTAAACATACCTCTCCGCAGCTAGCTTAGCTGAAAGGAAAGGAAAGGAAAGGAAAGGAAAGGAAAGGAAAGGAAAAAGGGAAGGAAAGGAAAGGAAAGGAAAGAAGGAAAGGAAAGGAAAGGAAAGGAAAGGAAAAGGAAAGGAAAGGAAAGGAAAGGAAAGAAGAAAGGAAAGGAAATGAAAAGAAAAAAAAAGAAAAAGGGAAGGGAAAGGAAGGGAAGGAAAGGGAAGGAAAGGAAAGAAGGAAAGGAAAAAGGAAAGGAAAGGAAAGGAAAGGAAAGAAGGAAAGGAAAGGAAAGGAAAAAAGGAAAGGAAAGGAAAGGAAAGGAAAGGAAAGGAAAGGAAAGGAAAGGAAAGGAAAGAAGGAAAGGAAATGAAAAGAAAAGAAAAGAAAAAGGGAAGGGAAGGGAAAGGAAGGGAAGGGAAGGGAAGGAAAGTAAAGGAAAGAAGGAAAGGAAAGGAAAGGAAAAGAAAAAAAGGGAAGGGAAGAGAAGGGAAGGAAAGGAAAGGAAGGGAAAGGAAGGGAAGGAAAGGGAAGGAAAGGAAAGGAAAGGAAAGAAAAGGAAGAAGGAAAGGAAAAAGGGAAAGAAAGGAAAGGAAAGGAAAGGAAAGGAAAGGAAAGGAAAGGAAAGGAAAGAAGGAAAGGAAAGGAAAGGAAAGGAAAGGAAAGAAGGAAAGGAAATGAAAAGAAAAGAAAAAGGGAAGGAAGGGAAGGAAAGGAAAGGAAAGAAGGAAAGGAAAGGAAAGGAAAAGAAAAAAGGGAAGGGAGGGGAAGGGAAGGAAAGGAAAGGAAAGGAAAGGAAAGGAAAGGAAAGGAAAGGAAAAAAGGGGTCTCTCTCTTTTGTGCCAGCCTGCCTACCATAGCCCACAGGCCCATCAAATGGATTCCATCGTGATGAATTTTAATGTTGAGATTCTGGAATTAAGGCTGGGATCAAAAACAAGGGCGTTGCTGATTTTCCCTGGCTCCTAAATTCTTCGCTTCAGCGCCCAACACATTGGCCAAATTTTGAAAGCCCCCAGAGGACCTTGATGCCCAAAGCAGGCCCAGGAATTAGGGGGAATCCCCCCCACCCTCCCCAATTGGAAAGCACCGTGCTATCTTGGGGGACCTGGTGGCCTTACGTAGGCAGCCAATAAGGACGCTTCTCCTGTGTGGAAACACGATCCCCTCCCACCCCGAATAGATTCCAACATGCTCGCCTCAAGCTTACTCATGTCTGAGAACTGACCCATGTGGAGTAAATAACAGGGAAGGTGGCACGTATGTGGAGTGGTGTAACTTGAGCAGGTTTACTATATATATTTGATACACAGCCCCAAGACCTGCGTTCTGCTCAGGATTACACACTTATTAGGCTGCGTCTGGTTTTAAACTCGTGGGTCCCTATTTATTTTAATTTTTTGGGAATTTTTTATTTTTATTTTTTAAAACACAAATAAACATACAATACATTTTTTTTCGAACAGAGCATTGATCCGGTCATAAATTTGTTCAACTTTTTGTTCATCTTTAACAAAATTTTATATATTCTATTTTTGCCATAACACTTATCACCTATCTCGACTATTACCAGTCTTATAGAAAGCTAACTCATATTAACTTAATCAAAGCAATTACCCTTCTATTAATCCACCTTAAATCTTAATTCAGTTAATACAGCATAATAACATTTCAGAATTCTACCCCCAAATACTCACTATTAAAAATACAATTCAAACATGTTTATATTTCTAAATCTTGTTTCCATTCTAGAACTTACATTTTATTGTGTGCTTCATATAATATTTCATTAAGTCTTTATTTACTTATACTTCATCCGATTTAAGTCTTATCTTGAAAATATACCAATTTAACATTTAAACACAGTTCTTAATTCAAATAACACAACATAATGCAATTCACAATTATTTCCCTAAATTCTGTCTATTTAACAATGCCATTTGTATAAAAGCCCATTTAAATGAGTCTTATTTAGTAAATCGTAATCCTATATCCTTTCAGTTTTCTTTTCTTTTTGCTTAAATAAATGTATCATTGAGGATATTCAAATCATTGCAATTGTTATACAGTAGGTATTGAAACAATATCCCAATTATTGTAGCCAGCAATTTTGTCAAATAGTACCCTCCAACATCTCCATAAAAATTAATTCGTTAGAGCCATTGATATATTTTCTTTTAACATAATCTAGTTTTCATATATTTTGTTTTTACAGTAATATATGACAGTTCTGGCCCACAATTTATGGTGGGCTGTTTGTTACTATTAGCTAGAGCAGAGATCTTCAAACTTGGCAGCTTTAAGACTTGTGGACTTCAACTCCCAGAATTCTCCAGCCAGCTAGTTGGAGAATTCTGGGAGTTGAAGTCCACAAGTCTTAAAGCTGCCAAGTTTGAAGACCTCTGAGCTAGAGGCACATCCAACGGGACGAGTAGAGAGTGAGGATGGGAGGTGTGTGTGTGGAGGGGGGTGAGCCTACGTTCCACCTTCATTTTCCTTCCTTCTACCAACTCCTGTACTATTAGAATATTGAGGACTAGGATGTTCTCGTTTGTTTGAGTAGGCCCTTGCTGCTCGCTGAGCTTGGTGGTTTTCTTGCAGACGTTTCGTGACCCAACTATGTAATATCACCAGGGCTAGAAGGAGGTAAGGTTCGCTCTCATTTGATATTCCAGCAGCTTGCCTTGTCGATGTTGGTGGGAGCGGTCTTGGTGGAACTGCCTTACCAACTAAGAGTAAACAGTCCAAACAAGGAGCCATCAATACTGACTGGGCAAGGTAGTTTTACATCAAGAGAAAGCAAACCCCACTCTCTTCGAGCGCTGATGATGTTCCCTAGTTGGGTAATGTGATGTCATTACCAGTTTTTTTTACCCACTGATAAATGGGAATGTGCTCCAGTTTCTTAGGGAGCATCTCTATAGTTTGAGGCATTGACAGCTTGTCTCTGTCATCTGTCTGTCTATCTATCATCTATCTATTTCTATCTCTAGCTATCTCTCTATTGTATCTCTATCTTCTCTCTCTCTCATCTATAGCTATCTGTCTATATCAATTATATCTATCTATATCTATCATTATCTATCCTCTATCTATCTACATTTCTATCTGCTGTCTGTCTGTCTATCTATCATCTATCTGTCTATCTATCATCTCCCTCTCTGATCTCTCTCTCTCATCTCTCAACTATTTATCCCATCCATCCATCAATCCATCCATCCATCTATCTACATTTCTGTCTATGTCTATCTTATCTATCCATCTATTCATCCATCCATCTATCTACATTTCTGTCTGTCTGTCTGTCTGTCTATCTATCTATCTATCATCTATCTATCTATCTATCTATCTATCTATCTATCTATCTATCATCTATCTACATTTCTGTCTATCTGTCTGTCTATCTTATCTTATCTGTCCATCCATCCATCTATCTACATTTCTGTCTGTCTGTCTGTCTGTCTGTCTATCTATCTATCTATCTATCTATCTATCTATCTATCTATCTATCATCATCTATGATTTATCTGTCTATCATCTCCCTCTCTCTCATCTCTCATCTATTTATCATCCATCCATCCATCCATCCATCCATCCATCCATCCATCCATCTACATTTCTATGTCTGTCTATCTTATCTATCCATTCCATCTATCTACATTTCTGTCTGTCTGTCTGTCTATCTATCATCTATCTAATCTATCTATCGTCTATCTGTCTATCTATCCTCTCTCTCTCTCTCATCTCTCTCTCATCTATTTATCTATCATCTATCCATCCATCATCTATCTTTCTTTCTTTCTTTCTTTCTTTCTTTCTTTCTTTCTTTCTTTCTTTCTTTCTTTCTTTCTTTCTTTCTCTGTCTCTTTCTTTCTTTTTTTCTTGTGCCCTTAGCTTCCCCTTTCACCAAATTTCACCATGTGAGATTTACAGTCCATTTCGTCTGCCATAAAAGATTTTGTGCAACTTTTTCCACTTCTTAGGCCAAGGGAAGTTGGCTAGCGATGACAAACTGTAAACACATCATCCAGAAATTTTGTCGGTTGTTGCTAAGGAGAGACTTTATCCTTGTAGCGGTTGTTAAGACACAATGCCGGAGGAGGGGAAAGGGAACAGCGAATGTGCTAATGTCGATCCCACACGAAAGAAAAGATCCAGGAAAAAGACACAGCAATTAAGACGAACTAAACTTAACTACAGTAGTTCTGATTGAAACCAATACAATCAATGTAAATAAATATGAATAATAATATACAATTAATTTAATTGTTAACCCCATCATGAAATTAAACAATGCAGCAACAGATACATACATTTTTCTAAAATAGATAATAAACTCATATGATGGATCTTTTCCTTCAAATTCGGAGAGGAACTTTTTTTCCAGTGACGTAATATCCTTTTTATTTCAAGATCTATAAAGCCACGAATGCCAAATCAGTGAGACAGTATAAATCATAGCAATTATATTTCAATGTTTTAACATCAGGAGCCATTCATTCTCCAAAATGGTACATTTCAATTTTTCCTTTCCTTTCCGAGGGGCAAGTATAGAAGTGAAACAGATTTCATTTCACATTTTCATACTTTTCAAAAAATTAAATTGTTGGCTTCTGTTCCAAGACAATTGTCTTTTTGAAAACTAGAATTGCAGGTGTCTTTAAAAGTGCAAAAATTCAGCCAAGCCTGTACTAAAAACAAGTCAAATTTGAGACAAAAAATCTCTCTTGAGTTGTTAAAACAACCATTAAAAGCTAGCTACTTTAAAGTATTAAGGAAGAAGCAATTTAGAACTAAGGAGAAATTTCCCTGACAGTGAGAACAATTAACCAGTGGAACTACATGCCTCCAGAAGTTGTGAACGCTCCAACACTGGAAGTTTTTAAGAAGATGTTGGATAACCATTTGTCTGAAGTGGTGTAGGGTTTCCTGCCTAAGCAGGGGGTTGGACTAGAAGACCTCCAAGGTCCTCCCAACTTTGGTATTCAATGTTCTAATTAGTCCATCCAAGCGTTCCAAGAAATAATCTTTCTGTTATTTTTCAAGTTTTGAATTATATCACGGCATCAATTTCTCACCTGATTCAGGAACAACAAATAGGTAGTTCTCGACTTACGACCACATTTGACTCCCACTCCCCCCCCAAAAAATTCGCAAAAGTGGATTGTGTGACCCAGGGATGCTGCAACTGTCATGAGTACATGCCAGTTGCCAAGCCTTTAAATTTTGATCATGTGCCCATGGGGATGCTGCAATGGTCGTAAGTGTGAAAAACAGTCATAAGTCACTTTTTCAGTGCCGTTGTACTTCGGTCACTAATGAACAGTTGTAAGTCGAGAATTATCTGTACTTAGTCATAACTGATAGTATCTGGCATTTTGAACAGCAGGAAATGAAAAAAAATCCTCATTTAGTATACCTGACCCTGAAAACCTGCCAAGATTTGGAAAGAATTACAGACTTCCACTCCAAATGGGCCCAGAGAGGAAAATTATCATAATAAGCCTCATCCCGAAGGAATATAAATGATAAAATTAAAGTCCAATGATATCATTTGATAAACCCTGCAGGTTAAACCTATTATTTCCATAAAGTTGCTGTAATTTAGCCAGAGATATTCTAATCTGATATTTAGAATATTATATTCTAATATTATTCTAATATTCTAATGAGCTGAGGTGGCGCAGTGGTTAGAGTGCAGTACTGCAGCTACTTCAGCTGACTTGCTAGTTCAGCAGGTCCAGCGGATCAAATCTCACCGCTCAAGGTTGACTCAGCCTTCCATCCTTCCGAGGTGGGTAAAATGGAGGACCCGGATTGTTGGGGGCATATGCTATTTAGTAATAACTGCTTTTGTGGGTAAGCCGCGTGTTGGTGTAAGCCTGCCAGAGTCCTCGAGAGTGGGCGGCATAGAAATATGAATAATAATAATAATAATAATAATAATAATAATAAGAATCATCCAGGGGCTTTTAAAAGGCCATATTTTTTTTTTCTCATTAATTAACAATTTGTCAGAAATATCTAATAGGAAGTAGTGCTGCGATCCTTCTTTATATATATATATATATTTCTCAGGTTTTCGCGGGTGTTTTTATGTAGGTCTTTGGTTATTCGGGTCTTCTCCCACGTAAAATTGGAAGTGTCTTGGCGACATTTCGACGAAGTCTCATTCGTCATCTTCAGGCTGGTGTTCTCGGTGAGAACACCGGCTCAAGCAGGGGGTTGGACTAGATGACCTCCAAGGTCCCTTCCAACTTGGTTATTCTGTTAACTATCTGACCTTCTAAATTGATAATGGAGGGTTGGGGTCCGGCCAGGTCTTCTTCTCTGTCTCCTCCGATTTTAAATGTCAATTTATTTCTTCTGTCCAGGTTTGTTTAGTGGCCATCATTGGGTTTGTGGATGCTTTGCATTTCTTACCAGCCGGATGAGAAAACTTGCATTCAGTTCTTCATCAAGGTATGTTGTGTTTTATTTTCTTTTATTTGGACCAAGAAAGAATTAGTTCAGCGAAAACAAGGTTAGAAGAGAAGAGGCCAGAATTTAAGAGTGGGGATCATGGTATCTTTCCTATTCAGGATCCAGTCAAAGAAGTCAAGATGGGAACGGAAGTGGTATGATTGAAGGGATTTTTGTGTGTGTTGGGTCTGCCTTAAAAACAACAAATGTTAAACCACAAGCAGTTTCAACCATTGTTGCAGTTGCCATCTTGAACTTTTGAGCAGATCCAATGGACCTTCCTGGTCCCATCATTCCTTGGTTGTTTTCCCAGACACATTTAGGTAAACATGTAGATTCTACAGTATATCAACCAACCAGAGCCAAAATTTCAAAGCTAACATTTTGATTGTTTTAAATGCTTTCAGAACCGGCTAGTTTCTACTAGTAACTACTCATGGTCGTGGCGTTTTCTTACCAAAAGTTTCTTCTTCCTCCTCCTCCTCCTCCTCCTCCTCCTCCTCCTCCTCCTCCTCCTCCTCCTCCTCCTCCTCCTCCTCCTCCTCCTCCTCCTCTTCTTCTTCTCTTCCTTCTCCTCCTCCTCCTCCTCCACTTCTCCTCCTCCTCCTCCTCTTCTTCTTCTCCTTCTTCTCCTCCTCCTCCTCCTCTTCTTCTTCTCCTTCTCCTCCTTCTCCTCCTCCTCCTCCTCCTCCTCCTCCTCCTCCTCCTCCTCCTCCTCCTCCTCCTCCTCCCTCCTCCTCCTCCTCCTCCTCCTCCTCCTCCTCTTCTTCTTCTTCTTCTTCTTCTTCTTCTTCTTCTTCTTCTTCTTCTCTCTTCTTCTTCTTCTTCTTCTTCTTCTTTCTTCTCCTCCTCCTCCCTCCTCCTCCTCCTCCTCCTAACTCACTCCCTTCTAGCACTGAGGATGTTACCTACTTGGGTAATGAGACATCTTCAACAACCAAGCTCAGAGAGCACCAAGGACTCTACAGTCTTCCTTCTCCTCCTCCTCCTCTTCTTCTCCTCTTCCTCCTTCTCCTCCTCCTCCTTTTCTCCTTCTCCTTCTCCTCCTTCTCCTCCTCCTCCTTTTCTCCTCCTCCTCCTCCTCCTCCTCCTCCTCCTCCTCCTCCTCCTCCTCCTCCTCCTCCTTCTCCATTCCATTAGATCCCGGTGAGAAAAACAGTGTTAAATAATTGGAGGGGCCAATTGTATCTTATAGCAGATTCTGTTTTTAATAGATAAAGGTACTGAAATTAGAATATCCAATGCTTTAGTTTAATTGCCGGAAGTGTTTGAATAAACAAATCTTTTCCTATTCATCTAGTCTACTATACCTGAAAGCAGACACCGAATCTGATGTTATTGGACCTCTGAGACCAAAAAAAAACCAAAAAAAAAAACAAAAACAGAAGATCCTTTGACTGACATAGTGTGAATGTGGAGAAGGGAGCAAGGGGGTATTTTTGTGACCAGGAGAGGACAGGGCAAGCTAGATTCAGCCAAATCTGAAGAGCCCGATTTGGATACACGCAGAGGATAGAAAATAGACAGACCAGGTCTGGCATCCAGGAATACAAGAATATCATAGAAAATTAATACTTGTTACCGATACCCTCCTGCATCCCAGTCCACCACACAACCTGCTCTTTTAAAATACGCTGCATTCAACTATGCATGTAAACGTATGTATCCATGTGTGTAATTTTGATCGATAAGAACACCTTAATTTAAAAAGCAAACACTGGGTGGTGCTTATTTATTTATTGAATGTATTGGCCGCCCATTTTACCACAAGATAACTTTGGGCGGCTTACAATATGTAATTAAAATGCATGCAATTCTTAGAAATTCTCCTTTCCCTGTCTCCCTCTCCCTCTCCTCCTTCTTCCTCCTCCTCTCCCTTTCTCCACTCGTCTTCTCCTCTCCTCTCCCCTCCCCTCCCTCCCCTCTTCCTCGCTTCTGTTCCTCTCCTCCCTTCCTCTCCTCTCCTCTCCTCACCTCTCCTCTCCTCTCATCTCTCCTTCTCTTATTCCTCTCTCTTCTCCTTCTTCTCTTATTCCTCTCCTCTCTCCTCTTTCTTCTTCTTATTCCTCTCTCCTCTCCTTCTTCTCTTACTCCTCTCTCTTCTTCCTTCTGTTCCTCCTCTCTCCTCTCCTTCTTCTTTTACTCCTCTCCTCTCTCCTCCTTCTCTCCTTCTTCTCCTCTCCTCTCTCCTCCTTCTTCTTATTCCTCTCTCCTCTCCTTCTTCTTCTCCTCTCCTCTCCTTCTCTTACTCCTCTCCTGTCTCCTCTCCTTCTTCCTCTCCTGTCTCCTCTCCTTCTTCTTACTCCTCTCTCCTCTCTCTTATTCCTCTCCTCTCTCCTCTCCTTCTTCTCTTACTCCTCTCCTCTCTCCTCCTCCTTCTCTTACTCCTCTCCTCTCATTCTTCTCTTATTCCTCTCTCCTCTCCTTCTTCTCTTACTCCTCTCCTCTCATTCTTCTCTTACTCCTGTCCAGCTGGGTCAAAATACCTCAAAACTTGGCCTCTGCTTGGAGGCCGCTGGGAATGGCAATCTTCAGCCACGGTAGAACATCCCTTGCCACATATTAAAATACGGTTCTTCTCCTTCCGTCTCAGGTTGCCTATTTCCTCCTGAGCGCGCTGAGTCTGAACGTCTGCGTGCTGGCCATGGCTTTCGCTGCCTACTGCTACTCCCAGATCCTCCGCTTTACCTGCGAACCCATCTCCGAGTCGGTTTGCCACTGCAAGCTGGACACGGCGGACCCCCTGAGCAGGACCCTCACCTACCAGAGTGACTGCGGCTTCATCGTCAACACCTTCTACCTCTTCTTGTTGATCCAGTTCATCCTCAACTTCCTGGCAGCCATGGTGGGCTTCGCGGCCTGTTTCGTCATGTGGAAGGATCGCTATCAAGTCTTCTACGTGGGCACCCGGATGCAGTCCCAAGCCGCGGCGGGAGGAAGACCCCAACCCAAAGTATAGGGAGAGGAGGAGGAGGAGGCCTCAAGGAAAAGCCACCAAAAATAACGCCTTTGTCCAAAAGTAGCAACTCTTTCTAATACCCCAAGGGGAGACATGTGGGCGCATCCGTTCACCTAACATCCAAAGAACGACACGATGGCGCATTTCTAACAACAATTGTTTGCCGAACCCTCTTGCCGGAGAACCCTCCCGATGTGCCTCCAAATCACGCATCCTGCATTTGGTGCTAGTTGCAGGAACGGTGCGAGCATTTCCCGGAAGAGAAGGCGACGGAAACGGAGACATCAACAATATCCTCTTGCACATTCCCACTTCTCGGAATTTGGGGTGGGTTAGTCTGCAAAAGTTCCAATTTTAGGTGCGGATAGAACTGAATCAGAGTTAGGAGGTTTTAATCCAGGAGTCTCCATACTTGGCAACTTTAAGACCGGTGGACTTCAACTCCCAGAATTCCCCCATGCTGGTTAGGGAATTCTGGGAATTGAAGTCCACAAATTTAAAAACTGCCAAATTTGGAGAGCCCTGTTTTAATCCGTGGCATTTCCTTCTAGGGAAGAGCAGTAGCTCACAAATGTGGCCGGCATGACACTAAACGAAGCGTAATAGAATATGGGGACCAAGGGCAAATAGATGCAGAAAAACACAGGTAGCCCTCGATTTACGACCACAAATGAGCCCAAAAATTCATGTTGCTGAACGAGACATTTGTTCAGCGGGTTTTGCTCCCTTTTACGACCTTCCATGCCGCCGTTGTTAAGCGAATCACTGCCATTGTTAAATGAGTCACACGGTTGTTAAGTGAATCTGACTTCCCCGTTGACTTGGCTCACAAAAAGGGATAACTAACTGTTATAAATACGAACCAGTTGCCAAGCATCTGAATTCTGACCATGTGGGATGCTGCGACGGTCGGTCGTAAGTGTGAAAAACGGTCCTAAGGCACTTTTTTTCAGCGCCGTTGTGACTTCGAACACTCCCTCAGCAAAGTGTTGTAAGTCAAGGACTGCCTGTGACCGAGGCCTCGTGTTTCCGTAAATCCTTTCCCCTCTAATACATGTTGTGTAACTACACATGTGCGTAGAGAACCATGTATGATTTTAGATTTTGTAGGACCGCAAACCGTTCTTTTAACTGTTTGATCACTTGGTTTCCTCGCATGGTGTTTTTTTTTTTTAATAACACGCGTGTGATGCTGAGAGCCAATTTCACGATGAGCTACGCTTGGGATGTCCCAGGAGACGGGCAATCTCTTCCCTGTCCATTAAAGCAGCCCAGGTTTTTTTCTTCGGGCTTCTGGAAAAATAAAATGAGACGCTTCTTTAAAGAGTTGCGTTAAAAAAAATGGACTTTTCAAAGCAGCCGCGTTTATTTTTTCAGACGGAAGTCTGAAACACGTTGCAAAGTGTTCCTTTGAGTTCGGAAGGGTTTTTTTTTTCCCAGTGGTGAAATCCACATTTTTTTTTACTACCGGTTCTGTGGGCGTGGCTTGGTGGGCGTGGCTTGGTGGGTATGGCAGGGGAAGGATACTGCAAAATCCCGGTTCCCTCCCCACTCCAGGGGGAAGGATATTGCAAAATCTCCATTCCCATCCCACTCCTAGGGGAAGGATACTGCAAAATCTCCATTCCCACCCCACTTCAGGTGGAAGGATATTGCAAAATCTCCATTCCCACCCCACTCCTAGGGGAAGGATACTGCAAAATCTCCATTCCCACCCCACTTCAGGTGGAAGGATATTGCAAAATCTCCATTCACACCCACTCCTGGGGGAAGGGTATTGCAAAATCTCCCTCCCCACCCCACTCCTGGGGAAAGGGTATTGCAAAATCTCCCTTCCCACCCCACTCCTGGGAGAAGGGAATTGCAAAATCTCCATTCCCACCCCACTCCTAGGGGAAGGATATTGCAAAATCTCCCTTCCCACCCCACTCCTAGGGGAAGGTTATTGCAAAATCTCCATTCCCACCCCACTCCTGGGGGAAGGTTATTGCAAAATCTCCATTCCCACCCCACTCCTGGGGGAAGGATATTGCAAAATCTCCATTCCCACCCCACTCTGAGGCCAGCCAGAGGTGGTATTTGCCGGTTCTCCAAACTGCTCAAAATTTCCGCTGCCGGTTTTCCAGAACCTGTTGGAACCTGCTGGATTTCACCCCTGTTTTTTTCTGAATTATTTCCAAAGGGTTTACATGTCAGTCTTTCCAATAATAGACAGGCCATCCCAATGTGTTGGACAAACATTGTATATAGCCACACCATCTGTTCCCGAAGCCTCCACCCAAGATTATATTCTGCTCTCACTAGCCATATCATCCAGCTCTATCATTATTTATGATTAATAATCACACTGACCTAAGATGAGGGCATGCGAGGAGCCCTCTTTGGAATGGGGATCGTCTTTTCAAGTCCGACATCCTCGCCTCCAAAGGGGTCAACCAGGTTCCTTGAAGAGGTCCTCACAAGAGGACGTGAGGACGACAGTCATCTCCTCTGGTTGAATGTTCACCCAGAACCAGATTTTAGAGGCTGCCCATTCGGCGGACAATCATCATCTGGACTCTTGGAGCCTTCTTGGAACTGTTGAAAGGAGCTGTGTTGTAGACTGGAGATAGAGGAGGTTGTATCCCTCACCCCGGCGGTGGATCTCCAATATTCTTACCACCAGTTTGCCATGCATGTGCATACTATCTGCACATCCACCAGGTCTTCTGTGCATATGCTTTACTCGCTCGTGTGCCTTTCATGTGTGTGCCCGGCCTCGAAAACATGCCTAAATAGGACACCATAGAGCCAGGGCAGATGAGCAGGCTTACCGGCTGAATATCACCTCTGCCTCACTCTCTGTTGAGTTAGGGTTAGGTTGAGCTCTCTCTCAACAGAAGGGATGAGACCAACTATCTCCAGCCTCTAACGCAGCTCCTTTCAGCAGTTCCAAGAAGGCTCCACACATCCATTGGCACCACTCAGGTGACCCTGAGGACACAGATAGACCTCTAGGTCAGGGGTCTCCAACCTTGGCAACTTTTAAGCCTGGAGGACTTCAACTCCCAGAATTCCCAGAATTTTGGGAGTTGAAGTCCTCCAGGCTTAAAGTTGCCAAGGTTGGAGACCCCTGCTGTAGGTAGTCTCAAAGGCTTTCTAAATTAAAAGGGCCTCCATGCTCCCTTCCAGTTGTCCCAAAGGGTTTTTTTTTTTTCAGGAGGCAACTGGACTTTCTCGAGTTTTCTTTGCTTTTGAAGACGTTTCGCTTCTCATCCGAGAAGCTTCTTCAGCTCTGACTTGGATGGTGGGGAAGGGAAGGATTGATGCTCCTTGCGGACAGAGCTGGTTATTTGCATCCTTTTTTTTAGAGGGTCGTTGAGGCCACTTGGAGGTTTCTCTGTCTCCTCGGGGTTCCCCTGAGTGGTGCAAATGGTCCCTTCCAGTTCTATTTGGATTGATTGGATCAAAAGATCTTCCCAGGAAGTCTAAATCATAAAAAAACCCCCAAAATGAGGATTCTGTCTTGTGGGACTTTCCTTTGGGAGGTCCTGAAGGAGCCAGCAGCCCCACCTTAAGGGGGCTTTGCCAGAGACCGCCAGCCCTCCTTCGGACTCTGCCTTCACATGATCCCCGTTGGCAGCCAGCTGCTCTGCGTGGGAAGCTCTTTGGACTTTTGCCCGCATAGCTGAGTGGCCGCCCAACACCGCCGAGTGGGCCAGCCTTCCTTCCCTCCGACATAGGAACCGGGCTGATGCTTCATTGGTGCGCCTGGAGAGGAGGCCTCCCCGTTGGCCTGACTCCGAAGGTCTTCAGGCTTTATGTTCTATATTTGCAACCCAGGGAGCGGTCGGCTCCCCCGCCCCTCCTCTCAGCCCTGGCCGCAGGCTCCTCTCCAGAACGTGTTTTTAAATACTAGTAAGAGGGTGGGAAGAGGAGAGAGGGGGGAGTGGAAGGGGGTCAGCGAGGAACAACCGCTGAAGGCTGCTCAACCGTAGACACGAAACCTCCGTTGATGCTTCTGGCTTTTGGATCTCTTCTATTGTTCATTTATATATATAGTATACCGTACGCCATATACGTATAGTTAGTATATAAGTGTACAATATGCAATTGGCCAAATTCCCTCCCTTCCTTCTTTTCCTTCCTTCCTTTTCTTTTCTTTTTTTTTCTTTCTTTCTTTCTTTCTTTCTTTCTTTCTTTCTTTCTTTCTTTTTTCTTTCTTTCTTTCTTTCTTTCTTTCTTTCTCCTTTCTTTCTTTCCCCTGACCCTTTTTTTCTATTTCTTTCTCTTTCTTTCTCTCAATCTCTCTTTCTCCCTCCCTTTTTCTTTCTTTCATTCTTTTCTTTTCTTTCTTTCTCTCTCTCTTTCTCTCAATCTCTCTTTCTCCCTCCCATCCCTTTTTCTTCCTTCCTTTCTTTCTTTCTTTCTTTCTTTCTTTCTTTCTTTCTTTCTTTCTTTCTTTCTTTTCTTTCCCTGACCCTTTTTTCTCTTTCTTTCTCTTTCTTTCTCTCAATCTCTCTTTTCCCCTCCCTTTTTCTTTCTTTCATTCTTTTTCTTTTCTTTCTTTCTCTCTCTCTTTCTCTCAATCTCTCTTTCTCCCTCCCATCCCTTTTCTTCCTTTCTTTCTTTCCTTTCTTCCTTCCTTCCTTTCTTTCTTTCTTTCTTTCTTTCTTTCTTTCTTTCTCTCTCTCTTTCTCTCTCAATCTCTCTTTCTCCCTCCCTCCCTCTTTTCTTTCTTTCTTTCTTTCTTCTTTTTCTTTCTTTCTTTCTTTTTCTTTTTCCCTCCTTCCCTCCCTCCCCCTCCCTCTTTCTTTCTCTCTCTCTCTCCTTTCTTTCTTTCTTTCTTTCTTTCTTTCTTTCTTTCTTTCTTTCTTTCATCCCTCCCCCTAAGAAGGGTACACCATGTTCCCAGGCTGTTACTTCTTAGCTACATGCCAGTGGTGTGGGATTGTGGACAAATGGACAGGATATACAGGCAAATTAACTTGGAGAGAAGAAAGAAAGAGAGAGAGAGAGAGAGAGAGAGAGAGAGAGAGAGAGAGAGAGAGAAAGAAAGAAAGAAAGAAAGAAAGAAAGAAAGAAAGAAAGAAAGAAAGAAAATGTACTTCTGAAATGAGTACAGAACAGCCTTCTTCATCGTGGCTCCCGGTTACTCTCTTAGTGCTTGGTGGTCGCTGGCTGCTTGAAGGAACCTGGAGGCACAGTATTGTCCTCTCCAGGGAGGTGATGGATGGAATTCCAGGAGAGTCCAAGTCTGCAGTTTCTTGATTCTTGGAGAATTGGATTGGTCGCTCCCTTTCCCAGGAATCTGGAATCTGAAGAAAGGAGATTTCATGAGACCAGGCCAGCTAATGTGAGCCTCAGGCTTAGAAAACCCTGGCCGAACGGGACCTCGTGAAATTGTTGAGGAGCATCAATTGCGTTGAGAATGATTTCACATCTGCCCAATGCTGCACGCTTGATTTTGAGTGACCTTCTTCAATCTTCTCTCTGTCTTCTTGGTTTGCTCCAACCTATTACAGATTACCGTAATACAAACCTATTCAACCTCATACAATCAGCGGTTGCTAAATTATTCTTTCGGATAACCTGCACTTGGTTGCTTTTATTTCAAATAAAAATCCTTTTCTTGATTAGTCCAGTGTTGGACCTCATAATTGGTTCGGGAGGAATCTGGAGCCACATTTTTCCATTCCTTTCCACATTTTCTCAAGGGGGAAGATGGATCTCTTCCTTCCAAGTAGTAGAAACATGGCTACTGTGTAAGTAGTAGAAACATAGCTCTGTGTACGTTGCCTAATCTGGGGAAATAACCACACTGAGCAAACCTGGAATTTTGTGTGGATGAAGTTGTGTGGATGAAGACGCCAAGAAAGGGTCAGGTAGGCCCTTTCAGTGTCAGTGCTGGAAAAGACCTACAATATTGTACGTTCTTCTACACCTTCTCTGGACATTAACTCTCCATAAAGCCCAGTCCAGAAACAAAATGTCAGAACTGAGTCCAATAGAACTGGAAAACATCAAATTAGAAGTGAGTCAAGTTGAACATTTTTGATAGTCACCATCAGGAAGTTGTTCATTGTGTTGATATATATATAATCATCACCTTCATTTAATGACCCCATAATCCCTTGCAGGGTAGAATCTGGGCAATTGCGTGGAGCTGAGTATTTACTAGCCGGATGCCCTTCCTGTCACCAATGCAGAGTTATAGTCAGAGGATATATTCTCATTGTGCCCAGAGAGAGAAATATCTGCCTCTACCTAGGATCAAACTTCCTAATTGTGAGGCAAGAGCTCTGCCCCTAGGCCACCACAACATATATGATGTAGATACTGTTAAGTAGCACTTAGCTGCCAGCTGCCTACAATTACTGCGA